GAACCCTAAAGAACCCTACAGATCAATGGCCATAGATTTCAACAAAAGTCCTTCGGGGGCTGCCCCTCCAGGAAAGAATGGAAAGTAAGATAGTGCCTTCAACTCGTATCTCACAAGGCAGCCTAGAGGGATACCATGGTCAATGGTATCAAAAGCTGCTGAAAAGTCCAGCAGAACCAACAGGGACTCCGTTTCCCTGTCTAGTTCCTGGAGTATGCCATCTACCAAAGCAACCAAGGCTGTTTCTGTCTCATAAGTAGCTCTGAAGAAAGACTGAAAGGAGTAAGTTGTTTCATCTGAGAGCAGGGCTGCTGGACCTGAGTGTGCAAAGAGGCCAGTTAGGAACGCCACAGGGGAGATCACACTCCAGCAAGGTGGCAGCACCACCAGATGAAGACAACCTGTGTTTCATTTCCGTGGGAGTTCTCTGTCAGTGGAGAAGATCCCCCTATACCTACTCTATGCAGATGAACTACTCCCACTCACATGTTGAAGAAGGTTGCCAGTTGCACAGCCTTTGTCCTGTGAGCATTTGCAGACTTCCTGTCAGCTTAGCTTGCATACTAAGACTGCTAGAAGGATACTAGAAGGATGAATTCTACTAGGTTTCCCAAATCTAGCTAGTCATTAGTCCGTATAAAATTGCCATGGATCCAATACTTTTGCCCCTACTAATATGTTCTGAGGATTAGGTTCAAAAATAGGTCCAGATGAAGTTCCAGGTGAAAGTAGATTGTGTGTATGTGTTGGGAAGGCAATTAGTACCCATTCTTGAGAAGACCCAGAAAATAGTAAGTCACACCTATCTGTGATAATAATGAAGTAGTCTGTGTCTGCTATATCTCAGATATTGTTCTTTTGCAAGATGGAGTCTATGCCTGTTGTAAATCAGCATCAGAGCAAGCATATAAGATAAGCATGTGTCAACTGGTCCATCTGTGGGTGTTCTGATCAGCACTTATAGTAACTGCATAGGTTTCTATTTCTCTCGGTATTACCAAAAGATGTTATATAAGCAAGGAGCATTTTGGGGTGGGGGGCAGAAACACTTCTTGCTTTCAGGGAATGCTCTGCTGATTGCACTTCCATTGCAGAGTTTGGGGCTCCTCTTTCCATGAAGTGGGTGGATGGAGATGGCTATGCATAGGAGCAGGATCGTTTTGCACTTATGGAATATTTTGGGAATGATGTCCACTGCCTCCCATTGTCTTTCCTCCAACAAATAGAGCTGTTCCTGGCTTTTATTAATGAGAAAAAAATTCTCCTTTCTCCCTGATAGCATGAAGAATGCTTTTTGGAGGTTTCCAAGCATCTCTTCCAAGGGATGTCTGGGACTGGGGAAAGGCAGCTGCTTTCTTTCTTCAACCAGGAAGTCCTCTCATTTTGCCTGCATCTTTATCCCTTCTCCCACAAATAATCCAAGTGTGCCTTTTTTGACCCCCTATCTTTGTACAATTTGTATCTCTTTCCCCATTGCATTGCACTGTAAATGTGTCCTCTTTTCATCGCTGTTAAGTTTATCTGATTTATACAACACGTTTCTACCCTAAAAATAGCATTCAAAGCACTCAAAAAAGGCCTTGCTTTCCAGCTTGGATCTTCAAGCACTTTTTTCCTCTTCTGCATATCCATGCAAAACTGAGGCAATACAACTCCAATGGTAAATGGTGTTAGAGAAGTGCATACAGAGCCAAAACTACTCTTCCTGAGTTTTGTAGTCTTTTGTTCTCTCTCCTTCATCTACACATCAGTGGATTCAACTTTTGCCAAAACACACACACACACACACGTATTTACACAATTTTTCTCATATTAGAAGGGAAGGGCAAGGACTTGCATTTGGGGCATAGGAATGGGTGTCATAAGTACAGGATAGGGGACAAGTAGCTGGAAAGCAGCACTTTTGAAAGGGATCGCAGGGTACTGGTTTAAACATGAGTCATCAGTGTGATGTGGCAGTCAAGAGTGCAAATGCCACCCTTGATTGCATACCCAGAAGTGTGGCTTCTAGATTCAGAAAAGTATTACTTCTACTGTATACTACTCTGGTGTGCCCACAACTGGAGTATTGTGTTCAGTTTTGGGCCCCTCATTACAGGAAGGATATAGCCAGGTTGGAATCAGTGCAGCATAAGGCCACAAGGATGGTGGCCAGATTGCATGGGAAGTCATACGAGGCAAGCCTGAGGGAACTGAGTCTTTCCAGCCTGGAGAATAGGAGACTCTGAAGGGATCTGTTGGTGACATATAGCTACATGAGAGGGTGACATGTGGAGGTGGGTAGAGACCTGTTCTCCCCTGCAGAGGAGGGCAGGACACATTCCCATGAAGCAAAGCTCAGGGAACCAAGGTTCAATTTGGATGTCAGAAAGTACTTCCTGACAGTTAGGACCCCTAGGGTATGGCATGGTCTTCTACAGGAGGTGGTTGAAGCCCCACTGGTGAGGGTGTTCAAGGACATGCACCTGGTAGACATGTCATGAGCAGAGCCAGCTGGACTAGGGTCAGACTAGATGGCCCGGAAGGCCCCTTCTCTCTCACTCTGTTTCTATGTTTCTTCTGAGATATTTCATTGCATCATCACTCATCACATGCCTCCACATAAAGAGACAGCATTGTGGTGATTATGCATAGTCTTCCCTGGGAAACATTTGAAAAGCCAAATATTTACTAGTTACAAGGCAGTCATACTTATTCAAGGGTCAAAGTCCCCCTATACTTTCACTTTACTTTCTTGTTGATTTTTATAATTCCAAAATACTTTGGCATTAATTTCACTGTTTTCTGGCTCTTGTCTTGTTCCATATCTTTAATTGCACCAAAATTCTCCCAATGCAGAAAAAAAAAAACCTGTGCTACAGCCAACGTCACACATAGTGGCTTGTTCTTTTTTCCAAACAAGTCACCCTGAGAATGTATTGTAAGGCTTGTTTTACCTTTATTGTTGTGTTGTTTGATCATGGGCAAACATGGGTAAAGTCTAGCAGTAAGTTAGGCACAAGTCAAGAATAGCAACAAATGCACACTTTGCTGCTCTTAGCGATACTGCCTGTGCTGCTGCTGAGGACAGCCCCTTTCAAAGTGTCCAAGTGGTACATTGAAGGGGCTGTTGTTAGTGGGCCGCCCCCTTTTAAAAGATTTTTTTGTACCCCACGTGTGTTCAAATAGATTTGCTACTGTTTTCATAGTTAGACTTGTGCCGAAGTGGAAATGCATGGATCTCCAAAAGGGAGGCAACACCTGAGGGGTGAGGGGTACTTCCTGTCACAATGCTACCAGATACCCACTCTGTGCATTGATCTGAAGAGGGTCCAGATAAAATTTTCCTATATTTTGCTTCCTTCTTGACAGCTGCCACGGAAACACAAAGACAGAAGGGATTTTAGCTTACAAAAACAGGATGGTGAGTTTTATATCCCATTTGTAGCAAGATCCCCATCTTGTATTGTATTGTATCCTGAATGACCCCAGGATAAAGTACATTTTACATTTTTTCTTGATACTCCAGAAAATTTTCAAAGTGCATTTCACTCCCATTTGACAGCCAGTTCAGTCCCCTTTAAAACAGAGTTTTGACAAAGCAATGAATGTTTTTTGACAGGGACACATAGCCATGAAGAGTGGGAAAGGCTTGTGAAGCAGCTGTGGGGAGGCAGGCAAGTGAGCTCCCAGTAATTTCTGTAGGATGACCAAGGGTGAGAAAGGAGGAGGGAGTATCCGACAGTGTACTGGTCATCTGTTGAGTACACCATGGGTTGCTTACACAACAAACATCCCATCTTTTGACCTCTTATTGATTGGGTTGTTAGTATGATGTCTGAACACTCCTGTAGAGTTATAGAATCTCCATATATTTCCTGTATGTATCTGAACAGATCAGCCTGCCTTTATTGTCAAGGGTCATAGACAAGTCAGGAATATGTCATTAATTGTTCATGTGCTGGTCAAAAAGAAGAGACACAAATTATACATATATATAAAGGTAAAGGTTTCCCCTTGACATTAAGTCTAGTCATGCCTGACTCTAGGGGGCAGTGCTCATCTCCGTTTTCTAGCCGAGGGAGCCAGCGTTTGTCCGCAGACAGTCGCCGTGGTCATGTGGCTGGCATGGCTAAACACCGAAGTACACGGAACGCTGTTACCTGCCCACTGAAGTGGTAACTTTTTATCTACTTGTATTTGCATGCTTTCGAACTGCAAGGTTGGTAGGAGCTGGGATGGAGCAACGGGAACTCACCCCATTGTGTAGATTCGAACCAGCGACCTTTCAGTCAACCAGCCCAGCACCACAGAGGTTTAAACCACTGCACCACCTGCAGTCCCTACATACACACACACACACACACCTTGGTCTAGGCATACCAGGAGTAAAGTCATTGAAATTAATAGGACTTAAGTCATGATTGACTTGTCTGATTAATCTCAATAGGCCTTCATGAAATATTAATAAGTCTGAACGCAACATGTGAAGAATCTCATTTTTATAGCTGCCAAGGCCTTCCAAGAAAAGTATATTAGGTCATGACCCCTTTGACTGTTATAGATTAAGCAAATTCATATTCCATATAAGGTAATTATGAATTTATTTTAGAGACATCAGCTCAGCTTCTGATAGGTAGAGTTAAGATAATTTAACAGACCCAAGAGAGAAAAGATATCAGTATCCTGACCAGCAGCACATAAACAGAGCACAAAATCCTCTTCTAATTTGGAAGGAATCACTCTGAAAGAGAAAGCTATTTTTTAAAGTTATTTCTGATTCTTTTTTTTTTTTTAAGAGTAAACTTCATGTATGTGGCAGCTTTTGACTGCAGTTCAGAACAGATGTTGTAGTGGAAGGCATGGAATGGGCTGGGCTTGAACCTGATCACTTTGGGTAAATTGTAATCCTTGGCCAAACCAATCATTATGCTAAGTTGCAACCTATAATAGGATGCTGCTAAATAAAAGGGCTCGTGCTTCCCGAGACATTTTGCAGAAAATAACATTATGAGCATATCATGGGTATCTTCATAGTTGGTAAGTGTCTTCATGCATTGCTTATGAAAGCTATTGAAATTGTTCAGATTTTAGCCATCTTTCATATGTTACAGTTACTGTCTCTTTTTGTAACAATAGTCTTTGCACTGTAATAATATTTTTGTTGATTCAGAAATGTTAACATGTTTAGCCTTTCTGGACTGCAGCATGTGTATGAGATTTTTAAATGCATTGCAGTCTTGTCCTCCCAATCAGAGAGTGATAAAAAATGTAGTGACTACTTGGATATATGTATCCCCTTTGCATACCTTAACATTTCATTTATTTTTTTGTTGAATAAGGGTAAGCACACAAGGTAAGTCCCTATCACTAGCAATTTCTTAGCCACTGCAATGTGTTTTTCTTTTACTCCATTATGGTCAGAAAGTTTAGGAGGGCCAGAATTTCCAATGAAATTTGAATGAATAGAATACCGATTCAGAGGAATAGAATTAAGATTCACAGCATGTACTGAAAAAAGTCAAGTGCACCTTAAGTATATTAGAAGAGAAATGCTTTCCCGGATATTTAATATTCTTGAGAGTATTAGTGCATATTGATACCTTTCACAGAGAAAACAGTTTGTCAGTACAATTGGAACACTGGGTTGAATGGATGTCTGAAGGACTCCTACAAGATGTACCATAGGGGATATGGGCGAAACACTCACATACCAAGCAGCTTCCCACCACTTCAGTTCACATTGCTAGACTTCTGTGTTTCCTTAAAGGAAAACTATTTTTCACACATCAATTTTAACTGACTTATAAACTGAGAATTAAAATGAGACTGCAATCCTATGCATATCTACTTGAAAATATTGAAGTAAGTCAGTGGGACTTAACTGAGAGTAAACATGTATCGGATTGTGTTGTTAAAAGAGAAACATATGATTTCTCTTTCAGAAATATAAGAAACAAAGCTGTGTTCCCATAAAATGCAATGTTGCCCTTTTTGTGCCTCCTCAGTACTTTTGTTTTCATTTAGCATGACTTACTCCCAGATAAGTTTGTAAACAGTTGCAACCAAAATAAAATTACAGAGACCAGATAAGGGACTTATCAAAAAAGAGAGTGTGGGAACATTTCTCACTGTGTAAGATTATCCTGATTGTATGGATTATACAGACTGCAATTAATTTACTGTCTTCTCTGCAAATCCCATGCCTGGATTTTTGTTGTTAGGGTAAACCCACATTTAAGGCAGGTATTTGATCCATAACTGACAAGCAGCAGCTAAACTGTGTAACTAGCATTTGGAAAGATCCTAAAATTCCAGAAGCAAAAGCTTGCAAATACAAATTTGAGACATTGCACTTTGCTTGTCACTGTTCTCAGGCATTCCTGACATGGGATCTGTCCCTGTGAATTCCTGTGCTTCACTTAACATGATAGCTGTACAGAAAGAGTTGTTGGTGGAATGTATACAACTCACTGTTTGGTGTCAAAGCATATCTGAAAAATGCTGGGTTGAAAAATGGCATTGCTTTATTAGTGGAGATCAGAAGTGTTCTTAAGAGTTTTTCATTTCCAGTTAATGGTTGATAAGTAAAAGGCAATAAATACTGTATAAGATGGACATGATATAAAGCTTTATATCTAGATGCTTAGAAAAGTTTATACACTTAGGGTTACATAGCAAATATTGAGCAGGGAGTAGTTTTCTAAAAAGTCAGTCATACCCAAATTTAAAGATACACATTTAACTTTATGCTCCTTTTTTGGATGTTTTACACTGAAATTCTTGAGGAGTTAAGACTGAGCATGAATTTATCAAATAGTGAATAATGATAATATAATATAAAAACAAGAGATATAAATGATGATGATGATGCAGACAGAGATACCTCAGACATATTGTGAGTTTGGCTGAGTTAGACCACTGAAATAAAGTGATTATTGCAAAAAAAAAAAAAAAAATGAGTCCCACAAATTTTTTGGTTTCCCAGTGCATGTGAAGGTTATGTTTACCCCATACTGCAGTATATTAAGTGCACAGTAGCATTATGTCTAAAAAAACTTTTAAGGTCACCATCTTATATGGGCCTAGTTTGTGGCACTTGAAAACAAAGTAGTAACATTAAAGATCACTGATCACCATAACAAATAAAATAGTTATGAAAAGGTTTGAAATATATCAAGAATTACCAAAACGTGACAGAAACACAGAGTGAGCTGTTGGAAAAATGGCTCTGAAAGACTTGCTTGATGCAGGGTTGCCACAAACCTCCAATTTGTAAAAAAATGCAATATCTGCAAAGCACAATAAAGTGAAGCACAATAAAACAAGGAAAGCCTTGTGTTGTTTTGAGGACTTCAATTTATTTTATCATTCAGAAGCCTAACAAGTCTGTGTGCCTGTCAGCCAAACTGCTTATTCAGAGTTGGATAAGAAACTTGGAACATGCACACACCCACACCCCTTAATGAAAAGGGAAAATGGATACAGTGATACCTTGGCTCACAAACTTAATCCGTTCCACAACTCTGGTTGTGATCCAAATTGGTTTTGACCCAAGTCAAATTTCCCCATAAGATTCAATGTAAGTAAGGTTAATCCGTTCTTGCCCTTCCAAATGTGGTTGTGAGCCAGATGTTGGTTGCGAGCCAAGTCAAATTTCCTCATAAGGTTCAATGTAAATAAGGTTAATCCGTTCTGGACCCTCCGAATGTGGTTGTGAGCCAGATGTTGGTTGCAAGCCAAGTCAAATTTCCCCATAAGGTTCAATGTAAATAAGGTTAATCCGTTCTGTAACTATTTTTTTTAATCAGAAATTTTGAAACAAAGTGACAAAGAACAACAAAGTAACAAAGTAGTGTACAGTACAGTGGAGAACACTAACCTAGGTGGGGAGGAGATTATTGTTTTGAGGGAGAGTTCCCCTCCATAAGGACATTGAGGAGATCTCTTTCAGGGGTTTCCTCTCTTTGTCTCTTAGCTGCAGGGGCAATTTTGGTGAAAAATCTGTCTATAGTCACTTGTTTTTTCCTGCACTGCATAACCCTCTGGAAATGAGAGACCACGTTATCGTTCATCAGATTCAACACTCTGTTCGTTACAGTTATGTTGGGGTGGTGCTTCTCAAAGAAACCCTAACATGGGCGCAGTCCTGCAGGAAAGACGGGCACAATCTCGGCCATCTCCCCGCCCCAAACCAGCACAATCGTGGCCATCTCCCATGTGGGGAGATGGCCAGGATCGCAGTTGCGTTCGTGCAGGGAAGACGTGCGTGATCACGGGTGCACTCCTTCAGGAAAGATGGCCGCAGCACAGCACAGCCGTGATCACGCACGTGTTCTCTGCACGAATGGGACTGCAATCGTGGCCATCTCCCCACTCGGGGTGGGGGGTGGGGAGATGGCTGCGATCTTGGTCACCACCCAAAGTGGAGTTCATGACCCAAGTCAAAATTTTCATGAAATTTGTGTTCGTGACCCAAGGTGTTCGTGAGCCAAGGTACCACTGTATATGTTTTTTTCGCCTAGCTTTGGCTTTTTATTTATTTATTTTTCGATTTATATCCTGCCTTTTTCCTCAAAGGGCTCAAGGCAGCTTACATCATTCCCCTCTTCCATCTTATCCCCACAACAACAACCCTGTGAGGTAGGTTGGGCTGAGAGTCTGTGACTGGCCCAAAGTCACCCAGTTGGCATGTTAAAGCCAAATAAAATAAAATAATCCAATCCAATCTGGCAATTTCTCATTCACCCTTTGAAGTGTGAATTGACTACTAATAGTTAATTGGCAACTGAAGGTTTCCTAAACACAAAACTATAGTTTGGTGCCTTAGTAGGCAACTGCTCATGAGGGCCTAGAAGGTCAAGTAGGACTTAGAATGAGAAGTGCTAGGTTGAAGTACACACATCCATGACCAGTAAGATAGGCAAGGGGATAGTGGCCACAGCAATCACCACCAGCAGCAATTCTGTCTGAGGTGGAGTTGGGGGTGATGAGGAGGAGTGCAAGGCCCAGCTGCCCTCCTGAAAGGCCTCCCTCATGAAGGCTCCTCTGTCTCCCTCCATTGTCATGGTCAGCAGCCATTCGGACAGGCTGTGCTGAGGGAAAAGAGAGGGAAACAGGCCCATTTCACCAGCCCTATGAAAAGAATTAACACCCTCCCCTCTGCAGCTTTACCTCATTTTTCCTCCCTCTTCTATGTTGTACCTTTTTAGATTGAAAACCTGTGGGCTGTCTTACTTAACTGACTGTGTGTTAAGCCATTCTGAGAGCATTTTTGGTTGAGGAAGAGGCATGTTGTATAGACTTCAAATACCCAAGTAAGTAAGTAAGTAAGTAAGTAAGTAAGTAAGTAAGTAAGTAAGTAAATAACAAATAAAGGCATGAAATAATGGAATAAACAGATACAAACAGAGACACTCTACTACCACCAAGGGTGAAAGACATACCCAAAACAACAACCTTAGTCAATCGCCCCCTGCCATCCCTGCCAACCGTTGAGGTGCTCCCCAATGTCTAGGTTGCTCTGCATCACATCCAACTGATCTTTTCCCTTTTTCCCAGGAGCAGGACATAATTCCAAATGAAGTACCGGGCTCCTGCCTCCAAACTTTTTTTTCCACATGGGCCTCAGAGCCATTCCTGGGAATAGATGTGATTTTGCACCAATCAGCTCACAAGCCCAGCTACATTTTAAAAAATATTTAAAAATATTATGAGGGGTAAGGAGTCAAGAATCTTCCACGGGAGGTATCTGTAGGCCTGCTGGTGCACAAGGATATGACACTGGGATCCCTGGGCTTATGTTCTCCTACTCATTAGTGATTATAATTTCCTACCAATGGGACTAAAATAGGAAACATGGTTTGCTTTGAATATTTTGTATTACAATTTCCATCAGCCCATCTAGAATGGATAATTGTCAGGAACTGTAGTTTGAAGCATGTGGGAGGAACCATGTTTCCTACCTGCTGGAGTTAGAGTATAGGACTGGGGACCTAGAAGTTGTGGGCTGTAGTCCTCACTTGGTCATTAAGTTCACTGGGGCAGTCACTCAGTTTCAGTCTAACCTACCTCACAGGGCTGTTTTTCTGAGGATAAAAATGTATGTGTAAACCACCTATGGGTTCTGCACAAGAGGAAAAAAATGTGATATAAATGCAATCCAATAAGAATAACCATAAATGCTTTACATTCATTAAACTTAAGCTTTATCTGATAGTCTTCATATCTTACCTAAAAACAGCAGCCTTCTCATCACCCTAGTAGAATGGTGAGTAAATGTATGGGCATTTAATTATGATGTTTGTCACACAATGGATTATGTTTGTCTACTAATGCCTTTGAATAAATCAAAGCACTTTAGTTTAGAAATTGGAGGCAGTATATCATAAGATTCCACTGGCTCTGTATGATTCTTGCATGGTTATCATTAAGACAGAAAACAAAAGGAGACATTAAAGCATGAGAAATATTGGTCTGGATTCAAAGTAGTGCACTATTTTGCATGGCAAAAGGATGGGAGAGCCAGTGTGGTATAGTGGTTAAAAGCATGGGACTGGAACTCAGACAATCTGGGTTCTAGTCCCCGCTCAGCCATGGAGCCAACTGGGTGACTTTGGGCCAGTCACAGACTCTCAGCCCAACCTACCTCACAGGGTTGTTGTTGTGGGGATAAGATGGAGGAGGAGAATGATGTAAGCTGCCTTGAGCCCTTTGTAGGAAAAAGGCAGGATATAAATTGAATGAATGAATGAATGAATGAATGAATGAATGAATGGTGCACACCAGAAAACTGGTGTTGCTCCATAGCTGAGACTGAATTCCAGATCAAGAAGTGGCTTAAAGAGTATGTTTGTAGCAAGGAGTCAATATTTAGGTCAGTTTCCTAAGCCAGAAATCCATCCAGAAAGAATGGATTTCCTCTAAATGTCTAAATAAGTAGTTTTATTAGTGACAAATAACAGGTTTTCATTTTTATTCCTAGATTTGTCTCTTGGATTATCAATGCACAACCTAAAGATGTTTCCAGTTTTGCTTCTTGTTATTCTTCTGGCACAGACTTCTATAACACAGAATCCTGGTATTTCAATAGCTTTTGAAGAAAAATAAAAAACAATTGCTCTTGCTAATGTTAATGTTAATGTTAATATTGGTGGTTTCACAAATGATGGCCATTTAGAGCTACAAATTCCTTTGCAGCAGACATTTGAAATTTTACAGCACATGCAGTGCACATTGTGACATTTTTCCTCGTTATGGCCATATGCAAGATCCAAAAGACTTTTTCAAAAGACCAAGGGCCAAGCCAAATAAGTGCATTTAAAAATGTGTGCTTGCCAGGGTAATAGAAAGGTGGCAGACTATTTTTACATTAAATAGGGACTGTAGTGTAAAAACGGCTCTCTTTCTTGCCTTTACATGCTCTGATATTTTAAACTGGAAGTGAGCCAGATGGGATTTAAAAGGCTTAAAAAACAGTGAGAGGGACATAACAAGGAAGGAAGCAGGTTTCATTTTCCCCACACATTCCATTTACTGTCAAAAGCACAGACGCACATCCCCTCTACTTTAAAGTCAAAGTAGTGAGCAAAGCTGCTTTGTGTAGGTTGGAAATGCCCTTACTTTGGTGTAGTGAAGCCTTCAAGCAAACTGACACAGCTATAAAAAATGGACTTCTATAAGGGACTATTTCCTTCCTCATCTGAGAGGAGCCATATCCTAGGCATGACCTCTGCCATGGGGCACCTCTGTAACCTCCTGATGTAGGGGTCTGTCCACTCCATTCTATTGGGGTGAAACTCCAGTGTAGTGAGGATTGGCCAGGCATATGACTCTGCCCCTTGGCTTATTCACATCCCCTCACTTCAAACTGTATCAACTACAAAGTTATGTAATGCTTAAGAAAGTTTATCTCTGAAGTGATTGAAGTTGTTAGTGCACATTTAAATGAAATAAAATTAACTAATGCATTTTAAAAACAAAATAATGCCTAGATATCTATTTCTCAGGCCCCCTTAGTACACATAACAGGTTTCAAATGACTAGATTTCATGACCTTGGCATTATGACATGGGCAAATGGGCACACAGCATTTACTAATATAGATGTGTGAGCACAGGTTTAACAGACACACAGACCTTTCAGCTCATAACAATCCCTTATGTAAACCAAGCCGGCTGCATTGTCTGTGAGGACAAAATGCAATTCCATGCAAAGTTGCGGATGCCATAAATATAGACATGTTTCTGTTTCTGACATCACATCTAATGCTGAAACATGAAGAGAATCCATAAAATACTATATGATTTCTATGTTTAAGGGGGTTTTCATGAATATCTTTGGCTAAATAGTTCCATTTCATTTTATTACTATTTCTCATTAATTTTCATTTTCTGCTTTTGCAGCCTCTGAGTCTGCAGATATTGTTCTTTTGGTGGATAGCTCTGATGCCCTTGGCAGAAGGTCTTTTCCCTCTGTGAAATCTTTCATTAACAAAATAATTAGCCAATTTCCAATAGGCCCAAACAAATACCGTGTTGCACTTGTGCAGTACAGTGATGATGTGCACATTGAATTCCAGCTGGATAGCTTTAAAGCAAAGAACCCCATGTTGAACCACATCAAAAAGAACTTGGCTTTCAGGGGTGGATCGTTAAGAACTGGGAATGCCATACAGAAGGTCCATGAAACTTTCTTCAAATCCCCAAGCAAAGACAGAAGCCAGATTTTAGTGGTCTCAACTTCAGGATTGTCAGTTGATGATGTGAGAAGACCTGCAAAGTTATTACAGGATGAAGGGATAAAAGTGATAGCTTTGGGAACAAAGGCTGCAACCCATGAAGAACTGCAGGCAATGGCCACACAGCCATTCCACTATTATTTCGCTACACCAAAGGAGCTCCTAGGATTTTCTTCAGATTTGTCTGGTGTCATCGGAACCATGATGCAAGTGGATAGTACCTCAGATATCCCAACAACTGTTCCACCAAGTATAACACCATTTCAAGAGCGTAAGTTATCAGCAGGAGGTAAATAATGAAATCGAAAACCAGAAATATGGGCTGCTGGAGTGGTCAAAAGAACTCTTCAGCCCCAGTTACTGAGATCTGCCATATTAGCAGACCATGAGTGTTGCAGCCTATATTATTGTGCATGTGATGGTGGCTAAATCCATGTGCCAAATTATTTGCCACATCATTGTCAAAGCCCAAGTTAAACAGTATACAAACAAGTTAGGATTGCTTCCCTAACCTGGTGCCTTCCAAAATTCTTCCTGGCCATCAGCCATTCTTGTTGGGGCTAATGGGAGTTGAAGTCTAAAGTATCCAGAAGGCACACTTAGTTTAAGATATCCCCCACATGGTTCCTGTTGAAGATACATGAAGTGTACCTTTGATTAATCTAAGTACAGCCATAGTCAGGCTGTGCATCTTGTGTGGTGTCAAGGGGGTTCATAGTTCAATACCATTTCTACAAGAGGTGGTTGAGGCCCCATCGGTGAGGGTGTTCAAGGATAAGCTGGACATGCACATGGTAGGCATGTCATTAGCGGAGCCGGCTGGAGCCAGGGGTCAGACTAGATGGCCCAGGAGTCCCCTTCTGACTCGCTCTTTTTCTTTGTTTCTGTATATGTGCTTGTAAAGGCTTATCACAGAAATTGCCAAAAAGGAATTGCTAACAATGTGTTACTTTTTTCCATCCAGCTGTATACTGTCGTGATGATTTAGTGGCAGATGTCGTATTTGTGGTGGATGAGAGTGTTTCAGACACAAACGCTAACTATATTATAGAATTCTTACAAAACACAATAAAACAACTTCATGTGGAGGAACAATGCACAAACATTGGCCTAGTAACATACAGCACTAAGCCAGAACAAAAAACTTTGCTGAGCACTAACACAATGGAAAGTGATGTTCTGAAAGTTATTCAACACATTTCTCCGAAAGAAGGAAAGGCTCACCTTGGTGCTGCCCTGAATTTTACCAGGAAAAAACTTTTCACTGAGGCTTACGGAAGCAGAAAGACTCAAGGGGTGGAACAATTTGTCACAATCATCACTCACAGAGCCTCTGATGACAACATGAATATTGCAGCTGAGCTCCTTCAGCAGAGTGGTGTGAATGTATTTGCCATAGGCATTGAAGGAGCCAATATCACCCAGTTAACTCAGGCGGTATCATATCCACCAGAGCGGAATGTTATATCAAAGATCAATTTTTCTGAGCTTCCAAAAGTGAGTGAGACTTTGAAGAAGAAACTTGTCAACCAAATACAGGACATGCTCTATGTCCAAGCTAAAAGAGAAGTAGAGCTTGAAGCAGGTAAAGCCACTAACAGTATTCAACAATTAGAGTCCCTGCATAATTCTCCCTGCTCTTTGTGTTGTCATTGCAAGTCCACTCAACTGTCAGATTAACACTGGCCTGTGCACATTTTGTTATCTTTTTAAATTTACTTCCAAACTTAACACTTGCATTAAAGCCTGATGCTATCATTAGGCAGAGAGAGGAAGGGATTGCCTCAGGCAGATGATTTTGCTGGCAGTCTGAAAGGACAGCAAATAATGAGTTATTTAGGGTACACTGGCCTCCATCCATTGACTCAAAGGCCAAAAGATTCTTCAGAGTCCCAGCTCCTATGATCTCAGACCTGGGATTCCTTCCCTTTCCCCTCCCCTCCCCTTCACGTTGGCTGCCTCCCCTGAGATTACACCCTGGGTTTGAAAGAGGAAAAAAGGACATTTGGAGTGTGGGGATAAGAACTTATGCCAATTCCAGGCAGTGCTCCAGCCCCTTTCTCTCCCTCTCCCCGATACTAAATCTAGATAATCTAGAAAAAAAAAAAACCATCTAGATAAAATACCCCATGTAAGACCCAGCAATAGTGGAGATTGCCATCATCATGGCTCACTTCTTGATCTTAAGCTTATGAGAACAGTGACTTGCAAGCAGCTGTCATGGGGAAAATTGAATTGTGCCTTTAATTCATTATTTTTGGATTTTTACCGCCAGTGATGGGGAGAAGCAGTTATGGGATTTTCTGTATTGGTCAAATAATATAACCAGCTTGAGAGCTATGCACATTTATGGACATGCTATGCTTCAGGCAGTGAGATGTTTTGGGCCAGCCTAAAATATTTTTTTGAAATGACCATCCCACTTACTTTCCCATCCATATCCACATTTCAAAATGCTCTCCCCTTCCCATATTGAGAAGTGATCACTGTGAATAGTTCATGTTTAGATTGTGTTGACTTCCTTATATGACAATCCTAAAAAGTTATCTTTCTTGGTTTGCTGTGTGGTTATAGGCAGACTGTTTTTTTTCCATACTCATTTACTTTATTTTAGCTGTCCTGGACCCTTTTTATGGGATTTAATGAGAACTGACCTACAAGAGCACTTCAGTTGTATGCTAGTCCATCTCCTTTCTGTGGTTCCTTATCTCTGACTTTGGAGTGCTGCTCTTCTTTTTGAGGAATCTCTTCCCATCTTAAAAGGAACACAAATGTCCAATCTTTATTTGGGGCATTGAAATGGAAGGTATTCCTTGACTTAGAGTTTATAGAATACTATACCTTTGTCATTCTATGAGTTGCCAGTAGCCAAAAAATCTTCCACAGGTGAGATGTCATCAACTAAATTTACAAGTTTCTTGTCCACCAGTCATTACACTGCAAATGCTATTAGAGACAGATTAGGAAAACTGCCTGGGGTGGGGTGGGGGGAATCTCTTTCAGTTCATTTCACAGTAGAATTTGTTGTTTTCTTATTATCACACAAGATGATAACAAAGATTTTCTGCTATCCCTACTAACATTCTACACCTCAGCATTTTTATATTACATGTTTCTGATTCTAACCTTCTAACCTATATTGTTGAGCTTTTTTTTTGGCGGGGGGTGGGAATCTCCTGATGCGTGTTTTTATGCCTGTAGAAAAGTCTATCAAAGCCTAATGTAATATTAAATCTCTCTGTTCCTGTAGGATGTATGGACACAGAAAAGGCTGATATATATTTTCTCATTGACGGTTCTTCAAGCATCAGTCGAACTAATTTCAATGACATGAAGATTTTTATGCAGAAAGTGGTTCAGACATTTATTATAGGGCCTGACTATGTTCGATTTGGAGTTGTGCAGTATTCAAACAATTATGGAACTGAATTTGAACTTGATGAGCACACTAAAAGAAGCAGTTTAGAAAAAGCCATTAATAACATCAAGCAACTGGGAGGAGATACGTATACTGGAGCAGCTATAAATTCCATGCAGCCCTTGTTTGAAAAAGCAAGAAAGCAGCGCGGCAGCAGTGTGCCCTGCTATCTCATCGTGCTGACAGATGGGGAGGCACATGACAATGTGCTGGTACCTGCCAAAAAGCTTAGAAGTGAAATGGTGAACATCTATGCTATTGGTGTGAAAGGTGCTAATAAAACACAGCTCAATGAGATTGCTGGTTCAGAATCAAGGGTTTATTTTGTTCAATCATTTTCCGCCTTGGAAGATATCAAAGAGAAGCTTGTTCAGGACATATGCCATGAAAAAGGTAAGAGAAATACTCCTGATGTTTCCTTCAATGTACAGAATATGAATTTCACAGGTTAATGATACTGAGCAAACCCAGGTCCTTCTGACTAGTTTCTCATGAAATCTATTGACTTAGGATCCCATTTTTCCAGGCAGAACTGGAGATTACAAGGGGATCATTTGGAGGGATATCCAGGTCCTTTATGTAGGTTTGTCTCTGAAGCTTCAAGCGCAAGTATCATGAGCTCAGCCTTTCCCTTCTGCTCCAAAACACTAGACAAGACTCTTGGCAATGCAGATCTTTATTGGTACTTTGCAGCTACAAAGCAAAGGAACTCTAAAAACGCTCTAGTGGGTTGGAAGATAAGATTCTGTATATGTCTGTATATGTATTCTGTATATGTATATGTCAAGATAGTTGAACCCAAACTGAGAACTTCTCTCCAAATTAAGTCCTTTTTGCTAACTCTGTGGACTCCACCCTTGGAGTGACTTCCACTGCTGGAGGGCCAGCTGGTGAAACCTACACAAGCCCTTTAACTGGTCAGCTTGTCTGTCCCAATGCCTCATCATGTGGTCAAGGACTGGGCAAGGCAATGGCTTTCCTTCCTCCCCTTCTTGGACTGCTCCTCTCTCTTCCAAAACATCTCTGCATTCCTGGTCAGCCAGAGAATCTTAAGGGTGCTTCAAAGGCCTTTGCCTCTCCCTGAGTTTCCAAAACTCCCATTGCCAAGTCTTCAAGGTCTCCTTCTTCAGAATTTAGGTCATGATGACCCTGGACCATCTAGTCCCTGCCAAGAGTGGCAGCCTAATTCACTCATTACACTAAGTACTGTTTCCAATTCTGCTAGCTACTCAAAGCCCACTGGGTCAGAAAACCAGCAAGTTTAAATTACTAAGGACACTATCCATTGCAAGCCTGCTGAGCAGGAGACACTAAACCTGGAGCCTTCTGAGATAACCAAAGATGGCAGAATCATAGTAGTTATTATTGTGAGCCGCCCCAAGGCTTCAGCGAATAGGGCGGCATAGAAGCTTCCTAAATAAATAAATAAGACAGTCTTCACCTCCCATCCTCTTTCTTTCACAATTCTAGCAAATAGGCTTTAGAACCCATGTAGTGGGAAGGGGAGGGAGGAAGAATGAAGGAGGCTCAAGATATCTTGTATCTAACTTTTCTGGTTTCCTGTCCTCCCTCCAAACTAGAATGCCCCCCATTCTTCCTCCTCTTCCTCAGTTATTCTTCCACCTTCAGTGAGCAGCTGGCCCAATTCTTTCTGTTCAGAAATTATAATAGGGTGAGGAAAGAGGGCCTGAACCCTTACTCCCCTCCAGACATCAGGCCACTGTGTCCAACCTTGGAAGGGTTTTTCCAAAGAATTCTCCCAGAGACCATACTATTGTTTTTCCAATGGTTTAATAAATGTTAGGGCATTAGTTACAAGCATGTGAGAATGAATAACTCTTTGATGCAATATAAACCAAACAGAAATAAACTGAAGTAAAAAAGAGTAGTAAACTAGTATGGGGGAAATAACTGCTTATTTCTATAGCAATAAGAAGCTACTATGCAATGCAATAAAGCAAAGATTTATTTGCAGAAACACAATCAGAAAATACAATGTCAACTTTCAGTGGTGGACAAAGGCCAAAATATTTTATAATGATGTCAGCTTTTTGATGTTATTTTATGGCTCAAAACAATGAATTATTAATAACACAGTTGCCTATGAGGCTATCCTGTCTTGACCTGAATATCAGCCCATTGCTATATTCATGGCTATAGTATAGTATATAGTTGTCCCGAACATCCAAAGTTCTATTATCCTTTTACCACCAAGGCTGAGAGGGAAAGAGGGAACTCAGGAAAAGGAGAAAGGGAACTGTTCATGACACTAAACATGCATGGGATTGTGCTCTAGAAGGCTAAATTTAACCACTGGGGTGTACTGGAACTGCAGCACCAAAACATTTTCTCCAATTTTTTTTAACTTAAATCATCTTTTGGAATCCACCCTAGCAAAATGTGGGTAGCACTGTGGTTCTGATCTCAGCTGAGAGCTACAATGGCTGCAATTGTTCTTCCTTTTAAAAAGCATGGGAAATTCAATCACAATTCATCTGTTATCTCACCTAGTTGTGTCCCTTAGTTTATTTTAAATTTGCTGCAAACTTTTGTGCCCATCTTAGTTCTTCCATGTTAGTCTCAGCTCTCTGATTTTGATCTTGATATCAAATCTGATTTTTATGTTGCATATGTTTTATTACATTGCTACAGACTGGTAACTATGTCTTTTTATTACTCAGAGAACATTTTGATATAAGGCAGCCCATATATTTTTCTGAGTAATTAAATGATTATATCTTTGAAATAATGTAATTGTGTTTTTTTTCTCTAGCCTGTATGAAAATGAAGGCTACTGTTGCATTCCTATTGGGCAGGTCTAAGGCTTTGGAAATTTTGAGAAAACAAAGACCTTTATGAGGAAGTTAGTGAGCAAAGCCACACTAACTCTGCATGGCATGACTTTTTAGATGTGTTCAGTGTTGGCTAGCTTTATGCTGAAACGCTTGTTTGGAAAATAAACATTAAAAGTTTGCCTGAATGAAGTTAAGCATTTAGATAACTTGAAACAATGCAATTAATAGTAATGGATATGATTTAATAGCTAAAATCAGATTAAAAACCACATTGCTTAAAATAATAAATTATCCAGAAAAAAATGCTGTATTTCAGCCTAAACAAAAGTTCAGAATGGATCTCAGATTTTCCTAATTTCTACAATCTGGTGTTTCTTCTGCTAAAATCACATAAGTAATATATCTGGACTTATTTATGTGTATTTATTTTAATCTTCTGTAGTTTGTGAGGGAGTGAAAGCTGACATCATGTTCCTAGTGGACAGTTCTCATAGCATAGGACCTGAGAACTTCGAGAAAATGAAGCACTTCATGAAGGAGCTGGTGAAAAAATCTGACATTGGTCCAGACCGTGTGCAGATTGGTGTTGTCCAGTTCAGTGACATACCTAAAGAAGAATTCCCACTCCACCAGCATTCCACGAAAACTGATATCATTAATGCTATTGGAAGAATGGCGCTTATGGACAAAAACACACTCACTGGAGCCGCACTGAAAGTAATTTCCAATTATTTTGAACCTACCAAAGGAGCACGGCCTTCAGTCAACAAAATTCTTATCCTGATCACAGATGGGGAAGCGCAAGATGAAGTAGCAACTCCAGCTACAGCACTGAGAGAGAAAGGCATCATAATCTATGCAGTTGGGGTTTTCAATGCCCATAAACCACAACTGGAAGAAATAAGTGGAAGACCTGATAAGGTGTTTTATGTGGAAAACTTTGATATTCTTAAGTGGTTAGAAAAGGACATTATTTTTGACATATGCACTATCTATAAGCCTGACGGTTAGTACTTGCTCTTTTTCATTTAGGCACTGTGTGGGTACGTGTGTTTTTATGTGTGTCCTCCTCAGAGAATGAGGAGGTAGTCTAATGAGCAGTTTGTAAATTTGGTGGGGCGGGGGGTGGGGGTGGAATGACAGAAAGCATACACTCATAGTTTGCAGTTTTGCATTGTGATTATTTGAGCAGTGGGTAATGTGATGCACGTATTGCACAACTACTGCCAAATTTGATGGAGATTTCCATGATGGCAGGTTGGGGGATACAACAGGTCACTGTTCAGACCATGGAGTTGCTAATTCTTATTAGCACTTCAGATGACATCTTCTATAATTATGATTGACCTCACCACTTCCATGGCAGTTCAGCAAGTGAGGATCAATATTTAGCCACCTTAGTGGTAGACAAGATAAGGTGTTTTATGTAGAAAAATTTGATGTTCTACAGCATATACAAGATGACATCCTGTTTGCCATATGTATCCCCCCTGAAGATTAGTAGTGTTTCTCTTGCTCTTGGAAAACAATGCATTGATAAGAAACATTTTCCGTTGGAAAGTCTTTGTGCTATTTCCATCAGGAACTTGTACATCATGTACCCAAAAGTTCATACATTCCAAACTCAAGTTGCACAATCAGAAGTACGATTCTGTGTTTTAGGTTTAGCAGTGGACAACATGATGAAGGCGGGTATTGTTTAAAAGCAACTGCCAAACTATATGAATATGTCCATGGTCACAGAATGGCAAATGTTGCCATCTGTGGTTCCCAGTACCAATTCTTCTAGATCATTCAAATGCTATCTTGCTAAGAAACTGAGATATGGATCTGGAGGTCCCTGGCTTTGTTCTTCCCTCTCACAGATTCAGTGGATGGCCTTCAGAATGCTATTCTTTGCCAATCTGATCTATGGGAATGTCACAGATCTGGGAATGATGATTACTTTAAATACTGGCAGGCACTCTTCTTAGAAGGGTTGTCCCCAAAAAGAATTATTTCCATCATAGACTGATCCTCACTTCAGCACCCTGGTGCTTGAGAAGTTTGTCTGCCAGTTTACCAAGGGCACATCCACTGCTTTCAGTACAGCTCTAGAAAAAATAGATAAAATGAAATTCACTTTTGATTTTCTGGCCCAGAAAACACAGAACTTAACATGCCTTAAGAAATATCTTAACAACACAAAAGGATAACTTAGCAGCCATGCAGTCTGGAAACGTCTTCGTGAGAAATTCCCTTTTTAAGCAAGGCAGCTGTATGTCCAATATATCAAGGACATTTATTTGTGTGGAATAGAGTGGAGGAAGGGAAGCATGAGGAAAAAAGAGGAGAAGAATTTTTAAAGGAAGTCAACAATACACAAAAGTCAAGTAAAAATCAATCTTGATAGAGTTGATCTAACTTAGCTAGTTACAAGTTATCTACCTGAATAGAATCTTGAGTTTAAGAGCATATGCACAATTCGTATTTGAGATGAAGTCTAAAAGGCCATATGTAAGGCAATGGGAATCCTATAAACATTTGCCCTTTCAGGAAATGAATAGTTGATATGCTCAATGGTATGATAAACTTGAATTCTGAAGTCAGTGATCTCACCAGCCAATCAAAAAATTATTAGAATCTAGGTCTACCTGTTTAAGGACCTTGCACTTGTCTTGCAAAAAAGCTGACCACTTCCAACTAGCTACCATATTATGGAAAGGGATTTACTCTCAATACTCGTTCATTAAAAAAAAACACCATGATATGGGCTTTTGGTTCTTTCATACTGAAGTGATGTTTTTCAATATGAAAGCTCTGGCTGTGGATTTGTTCTCCACTGACTAGAACTAACACTCAATGTTATAGTCCCCATAGGATGATTAAGCATATGGGAAATTCCCCTCATTTGGCTTCTTAGATTAATGAGATTTGAAAAATAGGAAGAATAAATATGGCCATCTACAAAACATATCTCTAATATGGCTGGGCATATTAAAGTCCATATTAAATTTTGTATGAAATGTGTTTAGGTGATCCTGTAGTGTGGTGGGCTTCAAAGAACAATGGCAGACCAGAATAACATTGATTTAAGACAACCTTTCCTGAGATGTGCTGGATTACAGCTCCCATCTCTTGTGACTGTTGTCATGCTGGCTAGGGCTGATTAAAATTGTGCATACATATGAATGGCACTGCTTTGAAGAATAATGTGTGAAGTCATAATCTATGGGGCTCTTTTAACATTTTCAATGGATCAAAATAAACTACTGTAGGAAGGAAGCAAACACCTGTAGTCTGGAGAAAAATGCTAAGATTTTGGCTAAGTTCACATGACATGACAAGTCACCCTGGCATTAAGCCACACTGGGTTGGTTTGTTTTGTGAAATATCCACAATGAGCCCAACAGAGGATTGGGCCTTTGCTCCCTCTGTCGCCCTCCTTCTCTCATGTTCCTCAAAGCAGTGCACAGGTGTCAGAGAGTCCCCATAGCACAATGAGTTCCACTCATAGCCTTGGAAGGGATAGTGTGCTGGGGAAACTTGCAGCGAGCAGTTCCTTGCAGCAGGCAGCACCAGCAAATTGCCCCAGCTGAGGCTGGAAGATGAGCTCACTGCACTTTAGGGCAGAAGCTCAGTTTGCATTATGAGGACAAAATAGAACAAAAGATCTTTGTCTTGATAGCTGAAACAGGGAGGATGGGGGAGCTAATCAAGCCTGCCCTTCTCTTCCTCCTGCAGGGATGCCCAATCTATTCACAGGTAGTGCTGCAAACACAAGAAATTGCTGTCCAGTGAATCTCCAGTTCCCACCTCCTGCCAAGGAGGTTTACTCTCAAGCAGAAGATGGGGGTGCCTGATCCAGTTGGCAGATTTCCCCCTCCTGCCTCCTGGCAATCCAGGATCTGGCCAGGATGTTGCCTCCTTCTTGCCAATAGGTCCTGCACCTTCTCTTCAAGGATGAGGAGATCCCAGCCATTCTTGGCAGCCGGATGAAAGCTCTACCCCTGAGAGCCCAGCAAAATGCCCACTCCATGCCATGATGGGCAGGGGAAAGTTTCTGAGAACAGCCCCCAAGTGCCACTTTGGTACATTGGATGCTGCTGCTGGTAGCTTGACAGGACTGAAAGGGGATTTTTGCTGTACTCACTAAGCGACTTGCTGGCACAAGTGAATCATGCCACCCAGGTGCAGATGACATTGCAGCCCACCAACAATAAGAAACAAGGGTTGTCATGTTGTCCAAACCAAGACACATTATAGACTCATCTCCATTTAGCCTGTAGATAACAGGCATTTCAGGAATTTCTATTGTTTCAAAAATGCAAAACTACATGGTCAGCAAAACTAAAAAAACTTAAGTATAGCATTCATTTTACTCTAAATACATTGTATTCATTTTAAAAGTGATTGTTTGTCTTCAACCTCGTGTTGGAACAATTACTGTAGTGGACCAAGCACAAACTTTATCAAAAAGCAAATGTTATAACCCTTGGGTAGTAACTGAAACATAGCATTAGTTCCACGATTATCAGTGCACACAGCAAAATGTACAAAATGTGTGTACTTAATTTTATAAAGTAAAAAGAGCCAGCATTTAAACAGTAAATATATAGTTGAATATGAGCAGTTTGATTGATTGTGCTGATATCTGTTTGCTTTCCAGAGTGCAAAAGGATAGAACGTCTAGATGTTGTATTTGTAATTGATAGTTCTGGAAGTATAGGTCCAGACAACTATGAAATCATGAAGAATTTCATGATCAGCTTTGTGAATAAATCTGATGTTGGCCCAGACAACGTTCAGTTTGGAGCTCTGAAGTATTCAGATGATCCAAGTATCCTGTTCCACCTTGATACCCACAGTACCAAAGCAGCAGTCATTGAGGCTATCCAGCGTGACATCCCTTTAAATGGCAATACATACACTGCCAAGGCTCTGCAGCATTCAGCAGCTCTGTTCACTGAGGCACGTGGCAGCCGCAAATGGAAGGGTGTCCCCCAAGTTCTTATGGTCATAACTGATGGTGAATCCCACGATTCGTCTGCCCTTGATGGAATTTCAAAGAGTCTCAGGGACAGTGGAATTACTATCTATGCCATTGGGATAAAAGGAGCAAATCCTGCTGAACTTCAGACCATGGCCGGTTCAGAGGTGTACGTATGTTATGTGGATGAATTTGATGGACTAAAAAACATATCCAAGACACTATCACAACAACTTTGCAATATTTCAAAGCCAGGTAATGTACTGACTTACTCTTCTGTGGTATTCATTTTTCAATGAATAGGCAAAGAACAAACTACTCAAATGTATTTGTGTTGGTTAAGTTAGCAGTTCTAGAAGTGCTGGGAAGTGGGAGTATTCCTCGGGACAATTTCTCAGTTCCTTCTTTTCCCTTTTTTCTTTCCTTTTTAATCCTGGAGCCGTACTTAATATAGCGATGTCACTACACCCACTTCCATTTCTGCTGGATTATTACCCCACCTGTATAGCTGTGATCTCCTGCTTTTTTTTTTCCTCAGGACAATCTGAATCAAGTTACCTCTTTGAAAATAGATTCTAAGTAAGCATAAATTTCCTTTATTGAGTGTTTTTTCACTCAATGTTTTCTCCTAGTTTACTTTGAGAAAAGAATGTATTCTTTTCATTGTGAAGCCCAAACTTCTGAATTATTTTGAATCCCATTCAGCAAAACCCAGTCACAGAATAACATGGGGAGCTGAGGTGTGGGGAGGGTTACGGCACTAACCTGTACCAATAAACTGAGAAATAATTTCCTGCTTATATTCCTGTGGTGTCTTTTTCAAGACAGTTTGAAATTGAGATTTTAACCATTTATCTTTCAGCAGTTTGTCTCAGAAAGCTTTCTCAGGATAAAAACAAGATGTTACAAGGAGGCTACATTTCTCTTTATACCCCCACAAGTAAGAAAAATAGCTTGGACAAGAGGAAGATTTTGATCTGAGGGGCTAAACAGCCTCTCTATATCCACACTTCCTCTATTTCAACTAGAATCCTGCCCTGATTGCTGGTTAAAAGAAAATGCTCAGGAAGCTGAGCATAGCACCCTGTTTGGCTCACAGTGTCCTCAGCCCTCTGTCCAGGGTAGTGCCATTATGGTCCCCATCTTTTTCTGGAGGCTGAAAGGGCATGGCTCCTTCTTGGCATCATACTGGCCAAAATACATCTGTGCATGCAGGTGGTATGGTGTGGAACTTTTGCATCTCCTCATAAACCTTACCAGTAAGGAAAACAGTTACTCTAGCACTCAAGACTATCAGCCAAATGCAGGATCATTTTTGCATGGCATATATATCAAGAACTAGTACGACATAGAGATTAAAGTGTTAGACTGGGACATGGAAGATCTGGGCTGTAGTCCCCTCTAAGCCTTAAAGCTCACTGGGTGAACTGCAGCAGTCACAGACTTCCCTACTAATCTACCTCACAAGGTTACTATGATGATAAAATGGAAGGGAATGGGATCATGCAAGCTGATTCAGGCTTCTTGAAAGGAAAAAAAGTGGGATATAAATGTAATAAATAAACTCTTACAGAAAATGAATGCATTGTTTAATATTTTGGTATAGTGCCTTTCAACATAATACCTTAATTTAATATAAAGTGCCATCCTCTTGTTACAGTTAAAGCAGGTAAAGTTGAGTAGGAACAATTGAAACCAAAACTCATATGTCAACAGTCTACTGGATTAAGCATTTGGCGTCTTTTTCAATGTTTTAACGAATGAAGTCCAACCATCTGCAGGCCAGATGAGGAGCATTCCTGGGATGCACCAGGCCCATGGACCAGAAGTTTCCCATTCTTGGAAGATAGTAGCTCAAGGAACATTTTTGGAGGGCAGCTTGCAGCAAATAACCACCATTTCCATTTTCAGTCTGGGGGAAATAATTTCTGTGTTGCATCCAGCCATACTGAAAATAGACCTATTGAGATCAGTGGGGCTTAGGTTAGTAATGACTTATACATCACATTGATTTCAGTAAGTCTATACTAAGAATGACCAAGTGTGAATCCAACCCTGTTAGTGTATTGCAAAGATTGGTTCCTAGATATTTATCTATAGGAAACAATGCATCCCACTTACACTTTCTTAAAATAAGCCATATTAATTTATTTATTTTATTTATTTATTAAAACATTTCTATGCCGCTTACAACATTAAATACAAAATACATTAAAACAATGACAATTAAAATATATACAGTAAAATATGTTACCTTCATACTGCTAAGCAGTACACTTACCCCTACAATAAGGGAAAGCGTATTAAACTATTATACCAAGATAGTACACTTGTATCTCCTTGGCATGACTGTTGTCCCTATGTTTTCCTATTTATCTTCTTGTTGGTTGAAATTTGTTTATATTATCTGTGAAATATTCACTTGTACTGCACATGAATGTTGGTTTGTAGCAATATTAATGCAAAATGGTCAAATTTTCCCTCACAGAATGTGACATCCAAGCAGAGGTTGTTTTCTTAATTGATGGCTCCAAAAGTGTACCCCGTGAAGATTTTGAGAGAATGAAAAATTTCTTGAAGGAACTGATTAAAAAGATTGAGTATAAGAGTGAACTACAATTTGGCATGGCTCAGTTCAGTGAAAGCTACAAAGAAGAATTCAGTCTGGGTGATTATCTGAGTAAAGAAAATCTGATGGAAAAAATCAATAATGTTTCAATGCTCTTTGGCAAAAAAACCTATATCGGAGTTGCTCTTACTGGAGTACAGGAATTGTACAAGTCACGAAGGCGCAGGTCAGCTACAAGTGCTATGGAGCAAAAATTGCTGTTAATCACTGATGGAAAGTCAGATGATGGAGTTGCTAAACCAGCAGAAGTCTTAAGGAAACAAGGCGTGGGAATATACGCAATAGGAGTGGGTGAGGTTAATGAAATGCAACTTCAACAGATAACTGGCTTCCCAGATAGGAAATATACAATAGATATGTTCAGTGACCTGCCAAATGTGACTACACAACTGATTAGAGACTGGTGTAAAAAGAGACCTGGAGGTAAGTTCTGTTCAGCAAAACCATTTTTAAAATCTTCTACATTTCTGTCTATGGGTGATAAAACAGATTAAAAATGCTTTGCTCCCACTGCTGCTGGTGGTTTTTAAACCCTTTTTGTTATTTCACCAAGTTTCATCCCTTTCTCTTTAAAAAAGGGATGTAGAGCTAGTCCTCCCATGCTCCCCAAACCAGACTCCAGCAGGTGGGGCTTGTCCTCCTCTGAGATCAGAATGCAGGCATCAGTGGCCAGGTTGCTTTGCATGGTGCTCCCTCGTGCTATGAAAAATAGGGTCCTAGCAGCAGCTGGATCACTTGTTGCTACATCTAGAGTCTCTGTGGGCACCGGGCACCAGGCACCATGCAAACCCAGGAACTCAGCCACCAGTGCCAGCAGAACCCCTTTCTCTGTGTTAAGATCTCTGTGCCTCCACATGGAGAATGCTGAAATACTCAAGACAATAATACCTGGGGAGAATGGTCACTGACATCAATGACTGTGACTCCTGATACAAACAGGCCTACAGGAGGCCTGATGGATGGGGGGCATGTGGAATCCCACCACAAAACTGTCCTACACCCCTGCTTTCTAACATCAGTCCATCTTCTTCCTACTTCTGTTTTGTCCTCATTCATTAACAAAACTTTTCACTGTTGATTCTTATCACAGAGCTGGGAAATCTAAATTTCACTTTGATGTGACTGGCTAAAATATAAAGAACTTTGTGATTAATTTTGCCACCTGAGTAGGTTGCTCATGTTCTGCATTGCCCATCTACAACTTATCCCAATCTTCTTTTGAAATGGGAACTTCTAACTGTCTAAGGAAGCTGATGGGTTGGATCACCTTGCAATTCTTCATCCCATTGTCTGTGTACTCTAGTGACATTTATTTTCCTCAGCCATCACTTTATGAATGTTTAAACCCATACATTTTCCATAAAGCAGAGGATCTCTGATGGAGAGTAATGAAAGGTTCAAGATCATGTAACGGAAATTTGGAAAACATTTCTAGTACTTCAGTAAGAGTTCAAGTTGTGTGAAGTAGTGGTCCAGTCTTCTTCAGAGTGTTTCCAGGAGTAGCTGAATAGAAAGATTTGGTGTTTACTATGTGTTTTAGATAAATGCAGTGGTGTAGTGGTACATTTGGAAATGCAGCACTTTTATTTGATTATCATAACTAATGTGATTCTTTACTGTTATCTCTGTTTTTACATTCTTCAACATTTAAATACATAATTTCTAATAATTTGTGTTTCCCTAAAGCGAGATGCTTTGTGGATATTGTTCTGGCATTTGATATCTCATCTCAGAAGTCAGGAGAATATTTATTCGAAAGGCAACACCATTTGGACCACTCCCTTCTAGACATTTTAAAGTACCTTACAGACTTTAAACACTTAAGCTGTGACAAAGAAACAAAAACACAGTTCAGCGTGGCTATTGCAATAGAAAATTCTAACCAACCTATTTCACCAAAACTCCAAGTTCACCCTGAAAAAATCCTAAATGAACTCAGAAAGGTTGTGGTCAACAATCCATCTCATCTCAATGTTGAATTCTTGGACAAAATTTGGAATAAAGTTCAAGACAAGTTCCAAGATTCAAATCGAAATAAGGTAATTTATTCTTACATCCAATGGGTTGAAATAAAATAGCATTGACCAAATGTTCTGTATCCTGGTGTGCAAATGCCCAAAATACACAACAGGGGAAGGTTTTCTTTTAGAGGATTTATTCTCAAGAACAACTGGTTGCAAACAAATAGTTCCAGATGGCGCACCTGAGCAGTCCTGAGCAGGAGCAGTTTGCCCTTTTATACATTGATTGTTAGAAGGTTACAGGTAAGACAGTTAACACCTTCCAATAGGTATCAGAAGTAAAAAAGTTTCAATGGCATGATCTTTCTCACTTGCATACCAAAGAAGATGCTCCAAAGGAAGGGGAAGGATGGGGTGCTAATAAATAGAAGAGGAGGAAGATGGGGTGGGTTGGTGTGAGTTGTCCTTTGTTTGAGCTCTTACTTATCTGTCAAGTGCCAACTAGCTTTCTCTGGATGCCAGGTTAGTGTCAGCTACATTTTAAGGATGCACACAAGCTTATTTCTAGAAAAGAAGTTTTTCTCAGACATGTGAGAAATGTCTGAAAATCATTTCTCAGTCAATGATTGCATGATTATACCTGTGTAAGTTATACCTATTTGTCATGCATGCGTGCTTGGATGAGATTCCCAGGCGTGCACCAGAGATGGAGGACTCTGGTGGGAATGACGGCTCAGACTCCGAGGAGGGGAGTGGAGAGCTGACCCAGCCGTGGCTCCGAGTTCTCACTCTGAAATTGGAGTTGTTGAGACTAGTGAGGCCCCAGTTGCCCAAATCCTCCCAGTGAGCCAGCCCGAGCCAGCGCTGGATCAAAGCACTTCAAGGGCAACCACTGAGCCCCTCCCATTCCTGATTGTGGGAAAGAAGCTGACAGAGAACAGGTTGGGAGGGGTTCCTGGGAGGAGAACTTGATACTCTGGGAGACGTGGACGTGAGGGCCTGTTGACGCACTCGCTGGCTTGCCAGTTGGAAACTCAATGGGAAGAGCGTCGGCATGCGTGTGTCATAGTGTGCCCTCCTCCAGAGAACAGCCTTGAAGGGTTCATAAACAGAGCTTTGGGTGAATAGGGTCAGAGCGAGATGTCAACTTTCTACCTGGAGTGTGTGTTTTGGAGTTTGTGAATACTTTGTAGCTGTATAGAATAAAGACTCTTTTAATCATTGCTGAAGTGCTTGCCTTGTATGGAAAGAGATGCCTAGTTCATGACCTATTGATTTGTACATCAATGGTGTATAAAAATGATGTTAAATGATTTTAAAATGTTTTTTAAATGTAAACCTACCTGCCAAGTCAGAATAATTTAAATAATTTAAATTATATTTCCCATTATATTTTTTCTTCTGTAGTTCCATGCTACATAAACTTGTTTCCATGTATTCAAGTATGTTATCCTTTCTTTTATGGTATCTCTCCATGTTTAAATAAGACTCTACCATTGTACATATTTGTGTTACTGTTCTAGACAAATACCATAACGGTATTAATGTTATCTACCTGGTATTGTTTTAGGTGTTACTTCTTTTCTCTGATGGCCCGGATGATGAAATAGAAGCACTGAAGCAAAAATCTGAAGAACTTAGACAAAAAGGTACTTCATAGCAGATGAAAATGCAATCAAATGTATTTTATTTAATTGTGTTCTTCGATCAGCAAAATAAATATCTACGATGAAACCAATTTTCTTTTAATTTTGCTCATGCTCCAACCCTGCTATATAATCAGATCTTCCTCTAAGTGCTAGAATTATTCATTTGAACCCCTTCTCTACAAGAATATTCTTTACATTCAACAAGCAAGAAACTCACAGGTATCTCTCCAATTAATTGCTCAGGGTTAAACCAGATAATAATTAGAGATGCCTCCAAATGTTGCAGTGAGTTGGCTCATTGCCTGAAATTCATCTGTTCATAATGCTCAGCTTGGTAATGTGCCTGAACTGATGTATTATGAATTAACTATTAGGTATGGAACTGACTGCATGTACAGTAAAATAGTACAAAAATCCCTAAATTTGAAGTCATCCTACCACTAGACCACACCAAAAGTTACTTGAAGCAGACTCCTTAGTTGTTGTTGCTGCCCCTGATGCAGCTCTGGCTCCAATGGGGAGGAGGATGCTGGTCTATCTTTACAGGTGATTAGACATCATACAGGCAAGTCTTGTGAGAACAACCATTCAGAAAAGCAGCACATAACATGATAATGCATGACTTCGTGCCACACTTTGTGATTCGGAACCAGAACTCCCAAGATTCCCTGTGATAGTGCAAATGTGCAAAAGGTCATATGCACAGAGCACATTTTCATATTGAAAAGGAACTTGCATTTGTCACTTGGTCAAATCCATTACTTTCTGAAAAAGTAATCAGTAATTCATTCAGTTTTCTATTACTAATGATAATGCTTCCCCAAATGGAAGCAAACAGGGTTGGGACAAAATGGGTTGAATCTAGTCATGGTTTGGGCCCCCTGAAAACGATGGTGCTTATGTTAGCCATGTCTAACTTGTGGCTAACAGGTAGCACAGCTAACTTACCCTAGATCTATCCCAATGAGCAAACTGATTCTAGCTTCAGATTTAACCATAGTGGTCAACAGTTTTCCTTTTCGCAGCACTGGAAGGAATTCATACTTAATGTTTGGTAATACCAAACAGTACCTTCTCATAAGGGTAATGCATCTGGTAGGCAGCAAAACCAGATATACTCATCCTTAATGCCAGGCAAGAATACTGCAGTAGTTATATGAACTGTTACAAGGTCTGAGCTAGTGTTGGAAAGTTCACAAAGAGATGGAGATACCACTAACTGTGATGCTTTCTTCTTTGAGCTTTTCTACATGAGGTATTTATTATGCATTTAACAGTCACTACTTACAGTTGTTTATAGATTCCTTAGAAGACATTGTAACTGTTCAGTTCTGCTTCTGTGTCTGTGCCAGTACTTCTAGAGAGGTTTTTTAAAGCAAAAAAAAGGCGCACCATTTAATTGAAAAAGCAAAGGAAAGTCCAATTTCTTCTTGTGGTGCATGCTATTCTGATATAGCGTGGTGTCCCCAAGAGGTTACGTAACAGAAAAGCAGAAAAGAAAATGCTCCTCGTGTAGTACTTTTATCTCAGTTCTGCAACAAACTAAAAGTAAATACAGCAGATTAACAGCCCTGTAATAGAGCTGCATAGAAAAACTTTTTGTGTCCAAAGGACCGGTAGATCTACCTTTCTTATTAGTTCATTAAAAAACATAGCTCCAGTGCCAGACACAGTCCAGATAACAATCAAACCGCCATTAGAATGTTTAATGGCGTGTGCCTTGAAAACAATCCAACAAATCAATGTTGATAACCCATGGGTTCTATCAACAGTTCAAACGGAAACTTTGTTAAATTCATAACTCTTTACAAATGCTACTACAGAAAATAATTCTCCTCTCAGGTCTTCTTCACTCCAAAGCCCTAGATCTCTGATCAGCTTGGTGCCAGGCTTTCATGCTGGGAAGGATTGTCCCAAGGCCAGGAATTTCAAGTTTGCACCCACCAAAAACATTGCTCAGGCCTTCTCTCTGCATTACTTGGTTCTGAGCCTTTCTCTCTAGCCACCACCTCCTCAGGCTGCTGAAAAAGATCTTTTCTATCCTCCCTGCATATAGGCAGAGGCAGCACCCTCGCACTTGAAACTTGATAGCAGCTGTGGCTTTTCATAAGTGCAAGGAGCAGGCTCAAAGCTTATCGCCAGTTGTTTTGAACCTCAGCTCCAAAGATTCTTGAGCGCTTGACATGCTGGCACAAACTCCTGGGAGTTAAAGTCCAAACTATCTGGAAGCAAAGTTCTGCCTACCCCTGCATTAATGAACTTAGCTGCATAACTCCTGTCTGAGATTCTAGGAGTATCTATAGTTACTTTCCTCAGTAGACCCATGATGTTGCCAGAGAGAGAGAAGAAACTGCTGCTTCTTCCCTATTGCCTGAACACAAGCCACTGCTGTCACCATTGCAGTTATTTATAACCTTAGGATTCATACATCTGTGTTGGAGCTTTGGTTCAAATTCTGAATTTCACAATCTCAGAATGTGTGATTATTTGCCTCCCTATCTCTTACAAAATTGATGTCCAGTAGTTCCAAAGCCAGTACTGTGCAAAAATAGACTATGAAAGCAAGATAGTCTTCATCCTCTTTATTTTATTTTTCTGCTTGATTATCTAAATTAAATTCACAGTGTTTTCACTAACAGAAAAAATCAGGAAAGCAAAATATAAAAGTTATTATTTATATGGTAGGCATGTCATGAACGGAGCCAGCTGGAGCTGGGGGTCACACTAGATGGCCCAGGAGGAACTTTCTGACTTGCTTTGTTTCTATGTATTTATGATAAATTCATCTTCTAAACAGGACTTGCTGGTTTGATAACTGTTGCCTTGGAAGGAGCCACCAACTTCAATAACCTCATGCCCATTGAATTTGGAAAAGGATTTGGGTATAATTATCAATTAACTATTGGCATGCAAAACGTAGCCGACAGAATATTTGAGTTTATGGTAAGTTCATCAGTGAAATATCAAGACTCTATCTAATAAGCACAACCTTGGGTATTCATAAAGGTTATCAATGTGGGGTGCAACAGCTGCAGTACTAACAGAATGTCGGATATTGCATTCTCTAAAGAACATATGTTTGATCTATTGTGATTTCCTCCCAAGGCTGGAATTGCTGAGAGAGAATGTTGTTGTGAGCTTTGTATCTGTTGGGGGACAGAAGGACCTATCGGGTTTCCAGGCCCAAAAGGACTTCCAGTAAGGATGTTTATGTACTGTTTAATTTCAATCACAGTTACATGTATGTTGAATAAAACAATGCACAACTGGAAATTTCCACTGGAAATTTTAAGCATTTTTTTCCTTTTTGCTTAATTTTCTATACTGTTACAAAATCAGAGACTGTTCCAGGGTCATTATATTTTCCAGAGAGATAGCTGTGTTAGTCTATTGCAGCAAAAACAACAAAGAGTTTTGTAACACCTTAAAAACTGACTAATTAGTTGTGGCCTAAGTTCTTTTGTGGACTTGAGTCCACTTCATCAATTACATGAAGTGTTATCCTTGGTTGGAGGGTATTTATCCCAAGCAAGCTTCACAGGCACAGAATAAGAAGGGTTCTCTTATGGATTAGTAATTGGTTAAAGAACAGAAAGCAAAAAGTGAGAATAAATGATCATTTCTCTTAATGGAGGGATGTAAACAGCAAGATCTGACACAGTTCTTTATTAGGACCAATGCCTTTCGACCTATTCGTAATTCAAACTAATCTGAAATTAGGCATGAACAGTGAAGTGGCCAAGTTTGCTGATAATGCCAATCTATTTAGGGTGGTTAAAACTAAAAAGGATTGGGAGAAGCTCCAAATCGATCTCCCCAACCTGAGAGAATAGGCATCAGAATGGCAAATGCAGCTCAGTATAAGCAAATAAGAAGAAATGTTCATTGTGGCAAGCAATCCTAACTTCAAATATAGACTGATGGAAACTGAGCTAGCAGGGACTAATCAGGAAAGGGATATTGGGTGTATGTAGGGGTGGACAGCTTGATGAAAATATCAACCTAGTGCACAGCTGCTGTGAAAAAGGCAAACTTCTTAGTTTGGCATAATTAGGAAAGGAATTGAAAAGGAAACTGTCAGTATAGTTATTCCCTTTATACAAGTCTTGGTTGTGACCAAAAATTTTGTGTACTATTCTGGTTGACACACCTGAAAAACATCATTGTATAGTTGGAAAAAGTGCAGAGAAGGACAACTAAAATGACCTAAAATGGTGTTGGCTATGACCTATAAAGCCCTCAACGGCTTGGGCCCTGGGTATCTAAAGGAATGCTTGAGTCCATATATGCCCTCCCACCCCTTGAGATCAGCAACAGATACCCTTCTCTGGGAACCCTCTGTGAATGATATTAGGAGGGTGAGTACCCAGAGGAGGGCCTTCTCTGAGTACCCGGAGGAGGTGGCGCCCCACCTATGGAATGCGCTCCCCAGAGAGGTCCGCCTGGCACCGTCGTTATTTGTTTTTCGGCGCCAGGCTAAGATCTTTTTATTTAAAACTTATTTTAAGTGTTAATTTATTGTGTAGGATTTTAAAATGTTTAAGCCGAGATGCACCAGCTTTTAATATTTTTATTGTATAACTTTGTTTTTTTATAACTTTGTATAACTTTGTTTTTGTTGTGAGCTGCCCTGAGGCTTTGTTGCAATGGGGGCAGCATAAAAATGTTTTAAATAAATAAAAATAAAATAAATAATAAATAAAATGAGAACAGGACTGGAGCAACTCCCCTCTGAGGAGTGGTTACAACAGGTAGGCTTATTTCACTTAGAAAGGGCAAGTAAAGGAAGACATGACAGAGGTGTTCAAAATCATGCATGGTGTGAAGAAAGTGGAGAAGGAGACATTTTTCTTCTTCTCCCATAATACTAGAACTTCATCCCATGAACTTGGGCATTGCATCAGTGGGCAATTCAGAACAAATAAATACTTCTTCATACCGTGCATACTTGAACTAAAGAATTCACTGCTGCAGGAAGTAGCAATGACCACCAATTTGTTATGGCTTCAAAGGGGAATTGAACAAATTCATGGAGGAGAAGGCTATCAGTGCCTACTAGTCTTGATGGCTATGCACTACCTTCAGTACCAGAGGCAGTGTGTTTGTGTACACACTGGGAGTCCTATGGGTAGCCACATGATGTTCCCTTGGTCTTACCTTCTTTCCCCAACAACTTGTAATTTGCTGTTTTCCTAGCTCTTGTGCACTTTTTTGCTCAATCCAATTGGTTGCACCCTCAATAAGCATAAGCCTCCAAACGTGGAAGCTTACCAGCATCCAATATAGAGCAGTACAAGTGACAAAACTCCTCTTACTCTCTAAGTCAGCTGGACTTCCAGTTTTGCAAGCAGAGAGAGAGGAGGCTGGAGCACCACCAGGATGGCTGGCCTTTTTCTTTGTCTATACCAGCCTTCCCCAACCTGGTGGCTCTCAGAGGCATTCTGCAGTTCTCAGAATTCCCATCCAGCAGGGCCATTGACTGGGAATTTTGGGTGTTGCAGTCCAAACATGTCTGGAAGGCACAAAGTTGGGGAAGGCTGGTACCCCAGAACAGTACCCCTTTACTGTTTCTCCAAGGTCCTTACAACCTCAGGGAAGCAGCTAGCCCAATTCTTTTCATGTCAGATAGAAGGGGAGATCTCAATGTGGAACCCCAGGTCTGAGGTCCAAATTCTGTCTCCAGTCTCACATCTGGGAATCCAAAAAATCATATGGCCCATAGATACCATAGACTGCTCCCTCAGCTTATTTTTTCTAAACTGGAAACTGAATGACCTGCCTATCAATTTTTACAACAAGCTAAGAAATATCCAGGGTCTTCAGCTGAACACAGTTCTAAATTCAGGACTGCAACAATCTATTTCTGAAATACATTTTAATTTTTAGGGAATTCCTGGTATTCCAGGCAATCAAGGACATCAAGGGGAAGATGAAGAGCCAGTAAGTTATATAATTTTTGGAATTATTTCTCAGTTGTATGTAAGATTTGTATATTTCCATTTACTACTAGTATTTTTTAGGGTGAAAGGGGAATTATTGGACCAAAGGGAAAACAAGGTGTTACAGGATGCCAAGGCGAGCAAGGAATGAAGGTAAGACTATATCTCAACCATTGACTTTAGTCTCATCAAGATTCTGGACTCTTTTTTCTTTGCCTCATTAAATAAAACATATGCCATTTTAAACATTGCAGGGGCTACGAGGACTGACTGGAGAAAAGGTATAGTAATGAAAGTTTCATTTTCTACAAAATCTTAGTTATTGCTTTCATGTTATAATATTGATGAAATTATCCGTAGAATTAGAAAGAGAGGGAGGAGAAAAATATTGTCAGCGAATGACAAACTACAGGTTGCATGCAAATGAACAACAGAACTATTGTTAACAGAGTAGACTGTTGTTTCATGCTTAAGAGTAAAGGATGGAAGGGAGCTTTACTCTTTTAGACGCACTGTGTGAGGATGAGCTACCTGCTGATAGGACTTCACTAACAAACAAATGATTCAGCACCATGGCCCTATTTCTCCTCTACTCTGCTCAAAATTGTGGCCTCTGAGGTGGCTTTTACATTTTAAAAGGTTAGGATGTCATTACTGTTCACTAGGAATACCATTTTCTACATTAATAAAAATACTATTCACTTAATTTGAAGACTAACAAAACTGGCAATTTCTTACTTTTATAACTCTGAACAGAAATGGAAAGAAAAGCTAAAGGAAAGATTTTTTTTTCTATAATCTAGTCTAGGGATTCTAAAGTTTACACAGTGATAGAAATAGTGCAAACCTCTGCATTTCTACTTAGAAGTGAGTTCATGTGAGTTCAATGGGATTTTTTTTCCATGGAAACTGTATAGAACTGCAGCCTTAGATTATATCCATTGCACACTAGAGTTTATCAACTACAAGACTGGATTTGGGACCAAATCAGGGCTTTGGAAAACTGTTGAGTCAGCTCAGAATCTGTCTACTTCAACTCAGGCCATGAGTCCCAGTTGAGATTGCAAATTGCATCGCTTTTGGTCAAGTAACTAATACTTTGGCAGCCAAAATGGACAAGGAAATTGACTGGGCAGGACTACACAGGACTGATAGCATAAGAGCACATTTGTATCAAAAATGACAAAATTGTAAACATCATGGCACAATTTTCGTAGGCAAAAATGTTCTTTTTGAGGTTCCAAATTTAAAGGAAAAGAAAAGGGACAGAGAAACAAGACAGGTTCTTTTGAAAAGGACACTGGGATACATGCTGGAGCTACTTGGAGGAATGAGGGGAAAGAAGAGGGCTAACAATTCACAGTAAGTCCAGTCATCTGTTGGGCATATCATGAGTTGTCCCATGAACAATAAACCTTTCATCTCTTATTCACAGAGGTGGCTTAGTATGATGTATGAATCTGCTGAATGTAATTGAAAATCCTTGTCTTTGAGCAGTTGCTGGATTTGACACAGACTCTTTACTTTTATTGGATTGCTTTTGCACAATGACTCTACCGCCTAAGAATAGAACTCATATTTCTTGATTTTGTTATCTCAGGGAGAGGATGGGATCGATGGAATTAATGGAATTAATGGAGAAGAGGTGAGTCATGTTACACATTCTTGTGCCCCAGTACTACCTTTTTAAATAGATCAACTAATTCCTTTTCTTCTTCTTTTCCTTTTTGTGTTCTTCAAGGGATCCCAAGGATTACCAGGAGAAAAAGGAGAAAAGGGGGACTCAGGCCAGATGGTATTATTTTAAATGTCAACTTTCTTTCAAGTTTGAATGTGAGCAGAATTTAAGTTTTCACATATTTTTTTCCAGGGGACAGAAATGTGTTAGCAAGTGCTGGTTTTCAAAAGGTCTAGGACCGTAATAATTAAGATGATAACAATAGGGCTATATTTCTTGAAACCAGGGCCAGCCCAACTATTGGGCTGAGTAAGGCAATTGCCTTTGCTGATGGATGTGTGGGAATCAGTAGTGGCAGCCTCTCCCAGGCATCCCCATCCTCCTTAGCTGGTGTCTTAGCTGAGTCAGTGCTTACTTGTTGCTGACCTGGTCCATCTGCTACCTCACTTAGTCTCTGTCTCCCATGGATGGCATGTTTGGGAAAGACCTCTGATTGGGCAGAGGAATTGGTATTCCAGTCCATATAATTTAGTAGGTTCTGGCTGGAAGAACTGTGTGTGCCATGGAGCCTATCCCGTGGCCACTAAACTAGTGCACTGCCCTTGGGTACAAGGAAGCATGTTGTCCCATCACCACTGCTAAAAAAGCATTCAACAAGAAACTTAAATCTGGTTGCCCACACATGATGTTCAATGTGGTATTTCCCTATTACATGATGGGCTTCTCACTTTATGTCTATAGTTATGTGAGGAAATGTGCATCCCCTTTCCAGGGGCCAATTATTGAACCACTGGTTCCAAGTGGCAGCTCCCAACTGAGGTGATATGATATTGACAGTTGCTCCAGGTAATTTTAAAGGTAACTGAAAGTACACCTTTCTAATGGATGGAAAACAATCCTGTTTTTTTATTTAAAAAGATCTCAATCACACTTTGAAAAGCATCTTTACCATTTCATTAAATAAACACGTTTATTTTTATAATGTATTGGTCCATTCTCGTGTGCTCAGAGCAGCTTACTTAATTAAACATAACTAAAATATTACTAAGGAAACAATTAAAAGGCTATCATGGATGACACATGAAAATCAGACCAGCCAGTCTGATCTTCCTTTGTCATTTGAAATAAATGAACTATATAGTCCTTACAGAAGGCAAAAGAGAACAGAAATGCCTGATTCCCAGCAAGAAATCACTCCAGGACCATGGAGACCACTGCTTACCTTGTGTAACTAATGCTGGCTGAGGATGCTATGAGTAGTAATTCAACTTATCTGGAGGGCAGTTGTTCAGGGACAAATGGCATAAAGGCTCATGGAAGCCAAAGCCCATGATGTTTGTCAGTCCCAAACTTTCAAGAGCTCCAAAGATAAGCAACAGCATCTTGAATTGGGCCTCGGAGATGTAACATGTACCCATTGCTGTTGGAAGAAAGCTTTTCTGTCATATCACTCATTGCAAAGCAAGGAGGAATATGGTGCACTCACAGAAGTGAAATTATGGTACAGAACCAAGGTTACAAGTGCACAGAAAAACATTTCAAGTCACCCCCGCCTACTTTTTTAAAACTACAGTCCAGATTGCAAATAACCATAGATTTTGAGTACTTCAAGAACCAAGACTAGTCCATTTGTGGGATTTTAACAAATATTTTACATATTTCAGGGCAGCTCGGGACCAACGGGACCTCCTGGTGATATTGGTGCAAAAGGCATCCACGGAAATGCTGTAAGTGTTCTCCAACCCTCTTCCATGGTTCTTGGCACCCTCTGCCAACTGCCATCCCCTTTCCTTTCCCCAGGGTGGAGTAAGTTTTGTGCCTTTGGGGGAGAGGGGAAAAGAACAGCAGCCAGCAAGGGACTGGCATTAGTTCCTTTTGAGCATGAAATCAAATATGCTAATTTCCAAGATGCATGCAAACTTGCTGGAGTAAATTCAAGGTTCTTCACTCATCTCTAGGTTGCTGAAAGTGGTGGAGAGGCTCAGTGCTTAATTTCTAAGGAAAGGGGTGCTTAGATTTGAATAAGAATGGGAGATATGCTATCACTCTATAACTTCTGCTTCTTCATTGTTGGTATATGGGGAGAAGGGAGGCTGTAATTATGAAGTGCTGATGAAAAGTACTCCGCATATGCTCAAAGGCTTGATGGGTTGCATAAGAAAAATGAGTCATAGATTCATTGCCAGGTCAGGTTGGTCACTCGGTACTGTGCCTCAGTGTCCTTCATCTGACTGAGCAACATACTCTAATAGCATAATCTTATGTATCTTTAGCAGAAAAATGCCTTACGATTCCTAGAGTTTCCCACCCAGCTATGGAAAACATTTTTTTTCTTTCTCAGGATGCAAGGACTGAGCCCTTAGTGATCTAAATCAGTGCATATGTCACTGTGTATTATATGACTTGCTAAAGAGAGTATGGCTTGCCTTACTTTATCACTTGCAGACCCTTTGCCTTCCTGCTTTGCTCCATTGTTTCCCACTGTTGTCCACCCAGCCCAGATTCTGTCCACATCCCTGTTCTCTCATGTACAAGGGCAACCCTCTTCTTTCCCATGAATTGTTAGAGGGTATATGTAAGCAGGGTTCATAGTATTCTTGTGGGTAAAATGAGCAACATGTTCAAAAAAATAAAAATTGCAAGAGCAGAGTGACATTTGATTTTTGTTTTCATGAAAACACACCTCTAAAAATATTATTTAGGGTGAACCTGGAATGGATGGTACCATAAAAGGAACTCCTGGTCCCAAGGGCATGCCAGGGAAGAAGGTAATTGTTAAGATTTTCTTTGATTTTTTTTTTGTTTACAATAATTAAAAGGAAATCCTTATATAACAACACACTGCTTGTTTGTGAATAATACTGAAAGTATAATAGATGAGCAATTTATTTTATGAATACAAGACTTCAGATTTTAGGGCTATAGAGATCTCCTACAAAAAAATGTGACATTGATTCAAAAAGAAATCACTTCACTTTGCACTGAATCATTTCAATGTTCATCAAGATCTTTACTTAGGAATTGGTCCTGCTCAGAATTAGACATGCATAAAATTGTGCTGTTAATCTCCAACTCCTCTCTCTTGTGTTATTCAAATGATGGAATGCAATGCTTTTAAAACTTTGTGAATAAAGCAAAACAAAACAAAAACAGTTTTTGCAAGACATTCTTATTTTAAACAAGAGAAAAAGAAAATGTAAAAAGGTTTTTCCTACTACTTTAAACTTTTAAAAATGAGCTGCCTGATATAACAAATTGTGATTTTTTGGTTTTAAAAAGAACTACTTCAACCACTGCCTTTTTTCTGGATGAATAGTTAACTGTTCACTTCTCTGGTTAAATGAACTGCTGGAGGCATAATCTGCCTACTCTGTAAAAAGCACATATTCTTCGGTAGATCTTCAACTGTTGTCCACCATGAAAGATGATCACACTGGGTGGAAAACAAGGCAGGTATCTTTTTAGGCAGCAGCCTTTTAAATTTTCTCTCCCAAATAAAAATGTTCCTCAGAATGGAATTTTTTTTGGGCGGGACAGGCAGAAATGGTGGTTGTTACTATTCCCTTCCACCAAAGAACTGCACTGCCAACCACAATATAAACAAATCATAGCATCTAATTTTGAGGTGGGCAAAATGGCTGAGAGATTGTCCTCATCAACTTGATACAGCACTGATTTAAATGTGAATTTTCAAAAAGTTTAATTGGAAGTATACCTCATGAGACATTGTTACATGTCAGTTGCTGCCTTTAAGTTGATTAATGGCAATTCACCATAAAACACCTTACTTAGTGGTGTTGAGCAAGAAACCCAAGTAGAGGAGATGGAAAACCTGCAAGCAAATTAGGTGGTGGTGCACATTTATGGAGGTAGTTATTGGCTGACAAATGTCATCCCCTATGATGGGTTCTATTGGTCAGAACATTAATCAAATCCTAACATTAATCATTTCAAGTAAATCCTAATATGTGGCAGCTATTTCATATACTCTGCCGAGAGAGAGTTGTCTTATGGCAAACACAGTGATTACAATTTGATCCCAGTCTTCTCTGTTTCCATGTTTTATATGTACTCTTGACAGGAAGAAGAGGGCATATATCATATTCTCCCCCACCCCCCTGCATGCCATATATAAATCTGTCTGGATGGAACTCAGATATGTCAAAAATGAAAAGGTTAAGCAATTTAATCATTGTTGTTGACTCATAACATGAAATTAAATTCTCCATTCACAGGGAGAAAGAGGACCTTCAGGTATACCAGGATTTGAGGGATCAAAAGGAAACACGGTAAGAACTAATGTGAAAAACATTAACCTTGCTTCTCCCAGTAAAGGAAATAAGAGGAGAGTTCCAAGTTAGATGGGGGCTACAAAATCAACAACTTTGGTCTGAAGGCTTCTTTGCATGGGGTGATTAAACTGTTGTTTAAACTACTGCTGCTTCTTTTGTTTTTAGTGTGGGAGGATCAGTACATCCTTCATGCAGGCTTTTCTCCATTGATATGTATTTCTTTGACTTTCAATTTATTCTAATAACCAACCACAAGATGGTGCTGTGGTATAGCTGCAGTATAGTGCAATTGAAACTTTTAGGGAGGCTTTGTTCCAGTTTGTTCAGGTTTGCAATTTAATAAGGTGTTGCCATCTAGTTTGGACAACCTCAACTTTGAACGATCCAGATTTTGAATGTTAGAATCAAGATAATTGCTCTGCAGTTTGAATGATTCTACAACCAAACTACAAGTGAAAAAATGTGGTAGCACCAAAAGCAGGCAAAGTATTTTGGGGGCAGTTCTTTTTCTTCTGTTTTTCTGGTCCTTGTGGGAGAAATTGTAATGGTTACATATAGGATTGTGTGTGTGTGGTGGGGGCGTTTAGTTTGTTTTTTGATAGAGCAGTCAGTCTAGAAGATCCATGGAAAAGGATGGAATCTTTCCCAGGGCATTCAATTTTTAAAGCAGTGCTCCCAAAATAATTTTCAAACTAACATCTGTTGTACTACTGTAAATTGACAAGATTTTGTTTTCAATCTCATTTTGGAGCAGGCAGGTTGAGGGAAGGTCACAAAAATCATTTATATGTTTATTTTATGTTTACAATAGCAGTGAATATAAACTACTGCCTTTTCTATAAGCAACAACAGAAAAATAGAATGCAGTATAAAAAGAGATAAAGTAACAAAGTAACAAAGCATCACAACAGGGGGAAAAATTAACAGATTGGTTAACTTTTACTAACCATGTCAATTCATGACTCAACAAAAACAGCATGAGATTAAAATCAGTCTCTCCTGTATGATGCTTTTGACTACAACCATCATTACTGTCCTGACTATACTGATGGGAGTTGTAGTGCAAAACACCCAAAGGGCACTGCATTAGGGAATGTTGAGTTAAATAGCACCAAAGCATAAGTTCCTTACTTGAACTAACAGGATTTCCAAATAAATATGCTTAGGGTTTTGATGAGCATTGACTGTGCTATTGGGTAACTGAAGAGCTTTGTCCACACATTTGCTCATACATTAAGTTTCATATGGAAAAATACGCCTACTCAGAGGGAAAAACTGACATGCACTGATTGGTAAGATTCATATGGATGGCATAGTGAGGTTTTGCTTTTCAATAGACCTCTCATTGTCTGCCTCCTTTTGTGCAGCCAGAGATTGCTCAGATGCTGATATATCCACCAACAGTTCTATTTGCCCATCAGAACATCAGAAGCCTGTTGGATCAGGCCAAAGGCTGCCTAGTCTAATATTCTGTACTCACAGTTGCCTGCAGGATGCTTCAGCTGAAAGCTCACCAGCAGGACTTGAAAGCATAGCACCCCCCTGCTTGTGGTCCTTCAGCAACTGCTATTGAGGTGCATCCTGTCTCTGATATTAGAGATAAGATACAGGGGTCACTAGCTGCTGATAGCCATAGCAATAGGCATGAATCATGACATTGCCAAGAGGTTTCTGGGAATTAAAGCACAGCCAGCTTCAAAGGACCCATTTCCATTGCTCATAGATTGCGGTAGTTTGGAGCTGCAGGTTTGAAATATTTATAGCCTTGGCCTGAAGTGATTTCTGTTTAAGATAGTTCCATAAATATCCTTTGGAGCTTTGTATGACTCTTCATTAGTGCATTTTGTACTTGTACTTGTTGATCTCTATAGTCTCTTGTCATCTAGAGTAGGTCTTGAACCTGGTTCCAGATTAATGAGGTAGCTACAGACATGTAGACTAGAAGATCCCCATGAGATCAGGAAGAGATGATTGGCTAATTAAGGGTATATGGCAACTTGCAAACCACTTAGAAATGCCCCAGTTGCAAGCAGAGCACATATTCTTCACAAAAGTTTGCAAATCCCAGAGCTTGCATTTGCAAACTTCACACTTAAAAAGTATGCAGCTTCTAAGAAATGTGCTGTGTTTTCCATTTGAACAAACTGAGAAGCAGGTTGCAAACAAGAATGAAAGTCAGCTGAAGCAAACTTTGAAGCAAAGTTCTGAGAATGCTAGTAGCTCAAGCATCTCTGGTCTGCCCTCCCTCTAATTTTCATTGCCTTCATCTTTGGAGATAAGGGTTCCACAAAATGAACGTATGTCAATTAAATTACATCATATTCTATTAAAGTTTCTGCTGTTTTGTTTTTTAAATCTGTAGGTAGTGTTGGTTAAGGGGCTATTTAAGCCTTATTTGCTTCTCTACAATCACAAATATTTTTTGTCTTATAACACTGAAATGCATAGGGAAGAGAACGAAGTATCTGATCTCCCAGTTGACTGGGGGTGGGGCGAGGGGGAGGGAAAAAAATTTGCAGCAATTGTCTTCAGATATGAAAGAAAGCTATGACATGTAAATAATAAATGTTGTGTGTCACAGGGAGCCAGGGGACTAAGAGGACCTCCAGGCCTACAGGTATGTTTTTCTAATTTTTCAAATTTACAGTATGAAGTACGAAGTAATCCATACAAGAAAGCCTGCCTTTCTGGGCAGCCTAGTGGAAGACAGAAGAGCAGGTTACTGGGAAATGGCACTACTAGGCCTTCCCATACCACCACAGTTCTGGATGAAAACGTATTGATACTGTAGGCTGTGGCAACTTACCTTGTTGGAGAGAAATGGTTGCAGAATGCATGGTAATAAAAGGTGTTCTGTCTTTCCCCTGACAAAACACAGTGTTCTCCTTTAAAAACCTTTCCCTAACACCATAACGGTAAAGAAAAATGTGCAGCCTGTCATGACTACAAAGCAGATTATAATTTCATGGACGTTCTGTTCTAATTATTTCTCTAAAATTTGACTTAAGTATTGTTTAAGTTGAAATAACAAAGTGTATTCATTATGTGCAATCCAGTGTATGTAGGAGCTGAACACACCGTGCAGTCCTATGTCCATTGTCAGAAGGATTGTACCTGCTGTAATGTGATAGTAATGCATAGTTTTATGGAATCAAGAATCAAAAGTGATTAAAATCCCCCAGAAGTAATATACTCCAAAAGAGAAAGAAGAACATTATGAATAACAAGAATTATATCTTCATACAGGGGCTGAAAGGAACTCCTGGTCCAGTTGGTAGGAAAGGAGAAGAAGGATTTAGAGGTTTACAGGTGAATATTACACTATTCTCTTTCTCTCTCTCCCTGGGTGTGTGTGTGAAGATATAGATGTTGATGTGGAGGATGACGACGACGACGACAATGACTACTACTAATTTGTTTTCAATACCTCCCAATAACTGAAACTTGGGGTGGTGAACAGAAATTTATTAAAACACAAAAGAAACAGAAAAATACAAAAATCAAAACGGCTACAAACTCTGAGCAGCTAAAACAATTTCAGAACAACTAAACCATCATAAATGTCCCCAAATTCCATTAAATGTCTCAGACAAGCAGGCCATCTTAATCTGGGACCAAAAGGATAACAGAGGTGGTGTCAGGTGGGCTTCAGTGGGCCTTTCCATTATTGGTATCTTCTGAGGCACCCTCAGACGTGGTATTCAGAGGAAGGCCTTAAGACGTTGGTCATAGTGCTTGGATAGATTCAAGTAAAGAGAGATGCTTTTTCAGCTACAGGTGCTCACAAATACACTGGGTGCTTTGCTTGCAAGGTATACGTGAAATAGCTTTCAAAATATCCGACAGTTCCTATGCATGAGGCAGTAACTCACATATATAGGCTGTAGTGGTTTCCACTGTCTGCATTTCTTAGATACTTGATTTCAGAAGCTGTTCTAAAGATATATGAATTACTGGCTCAGATGTCAAAAGAATGACAGTGGTACATAGAGAATCATGTCTGCTATTGGTAAGGATTGTCCTCTATGTCAGAGAATCATTTAATAGTAGAATTGGAAAAGGCCAGTAAGGCCATCAGGTACAGTCCCCTGGTCCATGCAGGATTTCAAGTTAAAGTATCCCTAAAAAATGACTGTCCAGCTGCATCTTGAATGCCTCCAGTGTGGGAGAATGCACAACCCCCTTAGGTAATTGGTACCATTGCCATCCTGCTCTAACATCCTTCCTTATGTTTAGCCAGAACCTGGCTTCCTGTAACTTGAGCCCATTATTCCATGTTCTGCATTCTGGGATGACTGAGAAGAGATCCAAGCCCACTTCTGTGTGACAACCTTTCAAATACTTGAGGAGTGCTATCATGTCTCTTCTCGGACTTCTCAAGGCCAAGTATGCCCAGTTCTTCCAATCTCTTCTCACAGGGCTTTGTTTCCAGTACCCAGATCTTTGCTGCCATTCTCATCTTCATCTGTCTTAAATTGTGCTGCTCAGAACTGGACACCATGTGCAAGATGAGGCCTAACCAGTGCTGAGTAGGGAGGAACTAGTACTTCATGTAATTTAGAAGTGATACGTCTATTAATGCAGTCCAAAATAGCATAGCAACAGAGCAAAACAGGTTATGTTGTTGACTCGTTCTACTTATGATCTGCAAAAATCCCAAGATCTTTCTCACTTGTCATGTTATTGAGCCATGTATTCTTCATCTCATAACTATGCTTTTGGTTTCTTTTCCTGGGTTCAGAATTTGCTATTTGTCCCTATTTAATTTCATCCTGTTGTTTTCAGCTTGTCAAGATCATGCTGAATGTTGTTTGTCTTCCAGAGCTATCCCACCAAATTTAGTTTCATCTGCAAATATAATAAACATTCCCTACACCTCTTCATCCAAATCATTAATAAAAGTGTTGAAGAACCCTGGGTCCAGGACTGAACTCTATGGTAGCCCCACAGTTAGAAAAGATGGTATTGATAAGTATTCTTTGAATCTGATTCTGTAAATCAACTGTGAATCTGTCCGTTATTTGTTCAGCTGACCTCTCTTTTAGCTAGTTTGCTAATCAGGACATCATGAGGCACTTTGTTAAAAGTTTTGCTGAATATATATTATATCCACAGTATTCCACAGTCCACTAAGGAGATTACCTGATCAAAAAATGAGATCAGATTAGTCTGGCTGGATTTGTTCTTGACTAATCCATGTTGATTTTTAGTAACCCCAGCACTGTTTTCAATGTTTTTGCAGACTGACTATTGTATAATCTGCTCCAGAATTTTCCCAGGAATTGCTGTCAGACTGCCTCCCCCACACACACGCACTTTAAATATAGGGACACCATTAGCTTTCTTCCAATCATCTGGCATATCACTTGTCCTCTATGATTTCTCGAAAATAATACTAGTCTGAGAATTCTTCTGCTACTTCATTTATCTCTCTAGGTTGCAAGCTCATGGGGTGGTTCCAGCCAAGGCGTGTGCGTGCGTGCGTGCGTGCGTGCGTGTTAAATTGCCCTGCCTCATTTGTAGAATTCTACAAGGGATCCAGAAATCATCATAGAAGCAGAGCAAGTCAGAAGGGATCCCCCGGGCCATCTAGTCTGACTCACAGCTCCAGCCAGCTCCGCTCATGACCTGCCCATCATCTTCCTCTTGTAATCATATCATGCTTTCCCACCATATCTTCTGCCTTTTCCTTACTGCAGAAACTCTGTTAGCGAGAGAAAGATGGAATAACTGCTCATCACTAGGAACCATCTTTCCAGAAGCACCCACAAAGTAGCACCAAGACAAATACACAGTTATGAAAATGAAACATCAAAATGGCAGCTAGGGCATTTCAGGTCTCTGGGGATCTGACCTGGTATAGCAAATTAGCTGCCATGTAGGACAGCAGTGTTCTCTGCTTTCATTTAGGCACCATTTGAAACAAAGAAATAGAGTAAAACTCTCCTCCCACTACCCCAGTAAGTCTCTAGAGCTGTGTCATCCAAAGGAAGCCAAAACCCAAGGAGCACTACCCTTCAAACACCTCAGTGCTCAGTGAAGAAGGGAGTACAGAATACTGAATAGTAGCATGTGAACTGCCCTTGAATTTGTTTTGAATTAATTTGTTTTGAATTAATTAACAAAATTTATTTTGCTGAATACCATTTCAGGGGTCAAAAGGAGCAAATGGTGACAAGGGAGAAAAAGGAAATGCAGGAAGTCAAGGTCTTCAGGTAAAATTTCTACATGCAGTTCTTTATTTAGACCTCCTGTATCCTTTGTCTTGATAACTAATGGAAAGGAGTGCTATAGTGACTGAAAATAGGTTTCACCCCACAGGAAATGAGTAAAGCAGAAAAATTACCATGTAATTGCTGCATTTGCACATGTTGCAAATGTGGACTCTAAGATTTAGTGTGACATACAAGAGCCAAAAAGAGCTGTTGCAGGCCTTTGGCTCATACACCAGCCAGAGTTACTTTTATTCTGTCAGAATTTCTAATATAGTTTAGGCTTCTGGCCTATACGTGGCAGCCTCACTGGATGGAAGCCTCCAAGATCAGATGCTCCAGTGCCCTCCTGAGATGCTGCCAGCAGGCCAGGAGAACAGATGGACATTATTTCTTCTTGGATCTTTCAAGCACTTGTCTAGGATATTAAGATGTATTTTATTTGTGTGGAGTTAAATATCACTGATAACTGATTTTAAAGAAGATTTTCTTTGATTTTATGGTCCTTACATTAGTGGGTTTATCATGAAAGATTTAAGTCTTGTGCCTTAATTTGTGACCTCAAATTGTTGTCCTATTTTAAACAAGAAATTTGTTAGAATAAAATTTAATTGAAGAGTGGTATGATTCTTTTTTCAAATAAATGAATAGTTTAGCAAGGTAAGTAAGTGCAACCAATCTCCACATAAGAAGTGAAATGTTCGTTTTATTTTTATCAAAATTTTAAAAAATGTTTATACAATGTTATTTTGCTTTTAGGGAAACTTTGGAGTGAAAGGCTCTGGTGGGAACCTGGGAAAACCTGGGACTACAGGGCGTAAAGTATGCTTTCACAAGTCTGTTTTTAATCTTTCTATACAGCCCATAACCAACCAGGAGAAAGTCTTCAAGACTGAATTCATTATGTTCAGTAAAGGAAAAACCTTGGCACTTAATTAGGGCTTTCACCCTCATCTAAAGCCCAGGCAAGCAACCTGCTCATGTGAGAATTAAAAAATGAGAGAGGATATGGTACACACACAAGCCCTGCCTTGCATGTCCCTATCCCTGCCCATTCCTTGTCTTGAGGGAGAAATTATGAAGAGGAATTTGACTCACATTCTCTTGAACATGAGGAGAAACCTCCATGCAGTCAGGAACCATGATAACACACACAAAAGGAAAGGTAACCATTGGAGCCTATGATAAATTCCAAAAACCATGCAGCCAATACTTTGGATAGGCTAACTCAGATATCACAAAAATGTATCAGCTTTTGAATTCTTCAGATCTCTTCATTAGGCATGATGTTACAAAAAGCAGGATGTCGAGGGAAGGTTGACTGGATATTGTAGGCAGGATATCTGCATAGTCAGTCTGAAGATGATATAGGGGAGGGGGGTTGCAGATCTTCACACTGAGCTCTTCCAAGAGATGGGATGGTTTCAGATTTCTGAACCCCTAGATCCTATAAAGAACAACAACAACAAACTAGACAATTGCTGATTCTCCATTTTTACCTCTATAAATCCAGATTTTTTAATTTTCTAAACCAGGGACTCAACAATTGTCTAGTAATTTTTTGCTTCTGTAAAGGTTCTTCATAAAGCACATTCCCAAGTGCGTGAAGGTTTCTTTTCACGTTCAAGTGAATGCAAATAAGAGCCCTCTTCAGATCTTCTTGTTCATTGTGAGGAAAGAAGAGGGCCAGTGTGGTTAAAGTCATACTGGGACTCAGCTTCAAGACTCCACTTGGCCATGAAACTCACTGGGTGACTTTGGGTCAGTCATGGGTTCTCAGCCTTACCTACCTCACAGGATTCTTGAAAGGATAGAATGGAGAGAAGCAGTAGGATTATGGAAGCTGCCTAGGGTTTCTCATGTAAGAGAAGAAGTGGGATTTTAAAAAAATGAAAATGGAAGGAACATGGCTTTTGGGGTGTCTTCTTCACATGTAGCCCCTCTGTGAGCAAGCTTTATCACTTGTATAGAGCTATTGGCATGTTGCCTTTTAAGTATTGCCTAACAGGCAGAAATTGTGCTGCTTTTTCCACAAATGGGAGAAGCTGAACCCATTAATGTTTTCCTGTAGGTCAGCAATGAAAGGCATAGAGCTCCTGTTCATAGAAATGGGGCAGCCCTAATTTATGTTCACAAAAACAAGTATTCAAAAATAATCACTGAAATACTAACAGCAGAGCCAGAAATGGAACAGATGTTATATCACAGTCAACATTTGGCCAATCTCTGAGCAAATCAAAGAGGAGATAAAGGGGGAGGCTTTGTTAACAGTAAAACAAAATTAGCAATTTTGGCTCACAAATGGGCAGGCCTCCAAGTATTTACGCACAGATAAGGCTTTCCTCTGAACATGCTGAAGTTTATCTGAATGCTTGAAGTGCATAATTTATCTGTATTTCACAATTGTGAGCACTTGTATAATTATTTATAGTTTGTCACATATTCTGTCTCACTGGCTTGCTATGTTTTATACAAGTTTTTTGTATGTTTTCTACTATCTCATTTAATAGGGAGAACCTGGAGATCCAGGAGTCAGTGGAACAACAGGCTTCCCTGGGCATCGGGGTTTGAGGGTTTGTCATTTATATTTCTCTCACTCATTCCATGGGCTGAAATTGCCCCAGGCTTAAAGGGTAATGTAAAATGGCTCCCATAGACAGGGCTGTGTGTATTCTGACTGTTATATTTATACAAATCTAAACTCTATACCACTTCACTTTTCAGACCAGCATCCAGGTAGAATATAAATGAAGTTATAAACAAAGATTTTATTTTATGTTTAGATTTATATGCTGTCAAGTAGTCCAAAAGGCTCTCTAGGTGGCATACCAGCAACAAGACCAACATTCAACAATCTTAAAATTACAAAATATGAAAATCAGTCAAATCACTAAAATTCATCAATTAAAAATATAAGTAACAATAATAATCATTTAACAATGATCAGTATAAATCATGTACAAGTGAGGGGACAACTATTAAAATCTAGTAAACCCCTTAAAATTAATACAATTATCTCAATATTACTTGTTAAAATGGATGAAGAAGAGAAATGTTTTTGCCTCATGAAAAAATATGAATTTTATTTGTGCAAGGGGGGAGGGAGGGGGAGAGGGAGAGGGAATCTTTGACATCTCTCACTGGGCTATGCTTCTGGCCTTTCCTCTAACATACTGTCTGTAGGTGGGCCCTATCCTCTCCATCTCTGTGCATTGAGCATGGATGTTTGAAAAGGAGCCCTGTGCACAATCAGTGGCTTACATGAAGGCATTTCACTCAAGAAGGTTGCCTGTGCAGCTATCATATAGGGCTACTACATACAGGCAGCTGCCCACCTTGGGATTCTTTTGCAGCAATCCAGGCTCACTGCTTGGATGCTAAAGGTGAGGCCAGCTCAGGGACATGATTTCAGGGTGAAGATCACAGCGTGCCCCAACTTCTGCCCCAACGCATAACTACGTAATTTTACATATGAGTAGCACATGAATGGTGCCCAGGAAGCACTTCAAAGGGATATCTCCAAACTGGCAAAGAGGGAGCAAAATGGAAAATTCAGCTCTGTGTAAATCAAGTCATGCATGTTTAAGCAAAATAATAAAAACATCCTAATTTTATATCTACACCAGTGAGGTATGAGCTGGCAGTTCCAATGCTGGAAAGATATCTTGGGTCACAATGGTCAGTGAAAATGTTATCCTAGTATGCAGCAGCTGTGAAAAAAAGCAATTCCGTGCTAAAAATTATTAGGAAGGGGGTTTAAAGTTAGCCTGTCAGTATTAAACACCCTTATATGAATCTGTGCAGCAACTACCCTTGGAATACTCCATCTCAAAAATGACATTGTAGAGCTGGAAAAGGAGCAGGAAAGAACAACCAGATGAATGGGCAATTTCTCTGTGAAGAAAAATGATGACTTTTAAGTCTTTCTAAAAAGGGGGTTAAGCAGATATATGACAAACATTTCCAGATTTATGCACGGTGTGGGAAAAAAATAGGTAGGGGAAAGTTTGCTTCCCTTTCTCATACAATTAGAATTCAAAACCATTACATGGCGTTGACTGGCAGGATATCCAGGAAAAGCAAAAGAAACAACTTCACACAACATATTGTTAATTTGAATATTGAATATGGTGGCCACAAGTTTGGATGGCTTTATAAAGGGATTGGGTAGATTCATCAAATATATGTCTGGCTAGTTGTCATGGAAGTTCTATAGACTTTTTTTTAAAGTAGGCCATAATAGCAGCCTCTGGAGAGCATCGGCAGCAGTTGCCTCCATCATTTGCTTAAGGACTTACAAGGCATCTGCTGGATGAGAAAAATGGATGCCAGTCTAGATTGGCTTTTGGTCTCATCCATTAACACTTTTCTTTTGGTCTTGTTAATCTTTTCTAGGGAGGAGATGGAACTCCTAAATACGGCAGACCAGGAAAGAAAGGTTTGAAGGTAACTGTGTGTGTGTGTGTGCATGTGCCAGCATGCATGTACACTCTTAAATAATGAAAAAGTAGTGTTGCTTTTATGCTGTTCAGAACTTGCTCTGGATTAGTTACAGGGGATTAGTTATATGTCACTCCATGTGTTTAAGTTACACTAAAATTAAAAGAACTTTCAGGGCAGATAATGGTGCTAAAGATTGCTTCCTTGCAATGTACATCTCTGCATAGCTTTTTATTTTTAATATGACTCCTACATTCCAATTTGAACAGGTTCAAGTGGTTTCTAAACAGGGCAATATTTAGTAGGTAACTGATATCTAAAGTAGTTTTTTACGTGTGTATGAAAATGAACCATACGTGCAGCTGAAGCTTTCTCTGAATTGTTTCTTTTGTATTGAAAGATGGTCTACAAATATTGTAAATAAATAAAATGCTTTTAGAATTGCAGCCAAAACAAGTATTTTGATGGTAACTATAGTAACATATTATTTAAATTTTAGGGACAAGAAGGCTGCATGGGAGACACTGGACTGCTGGTACGTATCCCAGGAATATATCCATATACATATATTCTAAAGGCAAGATTCCAGCAAGTGGGTACAATCCCAGCACAGTTTTTACTGTCATTCCTGGTACTAACAGTGTGCCTTACAAAGTGGAAAAAATCATCTTTGGAAGTTATTACTTTGAGATTCTGAAGCAGGTCCTACTGGTTTGCTTCACTAAACTTGTTTAAGTAAATTGGAAGCCCAAGACTGCATTTGCTGAACTCCCTGGACTAGGTTCTTCATATCAGAATATGCTGCTTTCACTTGAAGTCTTCAGAAGCTATTTGGGGGATTATGGGGGTTGTAGTCCAGCCTTCTGGAGAGTATCAGGTTGTTATTATTACATTACATTTCTATCTCCCCCCTAGCCAAAGCTCTCTGGGCAACATTAAAGTCACCCATCCATATTTCAACCGGGGCCAACCCTGCTTAGTTTCCAAAATTGGGTAGGATCAGGTAGTTCATGGAAGGTTTTACTTTTCTATCACTTTTCCTTTCACTCTGGAAGGTCAGCCTTCCTTGGCCTGGTACACTCCAGTTGTGTTGGGCTACAACTTACAACATTTCTAACCATTGGCCATACTGACTGGGATTATATGAGTTGTACTCTACCATACAATACTCTCGTATCTGGAAAGTAGCCAGTTGGGGAAGCCAAGGCTGGGTTCTACAAATCACCACAGTGAACACCAATTAAAATCAAAATCCAATCATGCTTAGACAGATAAATTCCTACAACTTCCAACTTTCCATAGCCAGATTAGCTGACAAGGGAATACTGAGAGCTGTAGAACCTTTTTCTGTCTAAACAAGCATAGGATCACACCCTCCATGACTGTATAATTAAGGAAATGAATCTATTTGTGTCAGGGCTCCAAGTTTTCAAGAGCTGGATCACTGGGTAGAGGCTATTTTGAGTCAGTAAGGGAAAATCTGAATAAATGGGGCAGTGAGCTTAGGGACAATTTAGGTGAACCATAGAATCATACAGTTGGAAGAGATCTAGGAGGCTATTGGGTCTAATCCTCTGCTCAAGGTAGGGCACACCCAAATTCTTCCACCCAAATTCTACCAAGGCCTGACCCTGCTTAGCTTCTAAGATCAGGCACTTCAGGCTATTTGGAAGCATTTAATGCCTGTTGATTTTTTATTTGATGCATGTATGTATTATGTGCATATATAAGAGAAAGGCAGAGAATTTACATGTGCTTCAAGGCAAGAAGGGAAAGAGTTGTGAAAGTCTGAGGGTTTTAACATTCAAGAGAAGGATGCTGGGTATTTATTCAGTGCATAGCAGAATTATTGCGATAGTGGATAGCAGTGGGTATCCCCTGCATCTGTCAGCTACCATCTTTATGAATCTATGATTGCAAACATTCTGTAGTGTCCCTGAACAGTTCTTTTATGGATCAGCCTTAAGGTGGCACCCACCATGGAAAAGTGAATGAGCAGGAATATTTATTTTTGAATGCTTTACAACTGTACTGATTTTTCATAGCCATTTGATATTCTTAGCATTATATTCAATTCAACAGGGTGATTCTGGAGACATGGGAGATCCTGGAGCACCTGGACGAAAAGGGTATAGAGGAAGAATGGTACTGTGAAGAGCAATTTGTATAATTATTACCCACCATTCCTGTAGTTTATTGTGTCCTTTATTTTGTACTGTCTCTGAAGACTTTATTCTTAAGTTAATGTACTTCCTCCATGTGAGGTCCTTAAGGTTGGGGAAACAGGGTCTTTTGAACCTTAGGTTCTAGTGTTAACAATGTATTTATGAGCATGAACTATCTGATGGCTCAAAATGCTTAAAAATTAAGAATTGTGACATGAACACACAATAAAACTATAAAAGGCAATTACTAATCTAAATGAGTTGAACTAGGAAAATAAATAAGTTAGTCAAACAGTGTATTATAAACTTTCTGTGGATACCTGCAAGGAGTTTTCTGTTGCTCTCAAAAGAGCACTTCTCACAAAAGTCTTGAAGATTGAGTAGGGATTGCTGTTTTGTGTTTGCTTTTCTAAATGTTCCATAACCATGAGGCCACAAATGTAAAGATCATGCTTTGTCTTTCACAGATTTGAGATCTTTTATTGGAGCCTTTGTTCTTTCTTCAGATGAGGACTCATATGTAGGCTTAAAGTCAGCACAGTCTAAAAAATCAGGAAAAAAACAGTATAGTAAACCATTGGAAACTTACCATTCCAAATTTCTTAGGGATATTTCTAGTTACCCAGGTGTCCAACTAGATTGTGGGTTTCAACTCAGAATGGTCCTAGCCACAGAAGAATGTACATGTGTACAAGGAAGAAAATGAAAAAGGGAGAAAACTGTCTCCTTTGCTGCTTAATATCTTGTACTACACCATACTGCTTGGATGTCAACAATATGCATAGATGTACAGATGCTTTTATGTTGTAACTGAAACAAATGAACTATGTCATGACTTCAGGGATACCCAGGAGAGCAAGGCAGAAATGGTGATCCAGGAGTGCGGGGTGATCCAGGACGTCCGGTAGGTCCCAGTCTTATCTAATGTGGGCTGTTTTATCTGAATCAGAAACAACTCTTTTGTTGTCTAGTGGTTAAATTTCTGATGTGGTTGTCTCTCTGTCCAAGGCAAGAGCTTATTAACTAGTTTGAGTGCTCAATCAAAAGTTGTTCCCATTGGTGTCCAACATGTAGATCCTTCATTTCTAACCAAGTTTGCGTGCTGCAATGCCAGTAAAATGCATGTTTAATCATAACTACAGGACTCATTTGCTTCCTCTTTGCTAACTTGTCAAGATCCAGATGCCCTCTGCCTCCATTCTCATGCATTTCCTTGCATCTTTTCTGTCTCATTCCACCCACACAGCCTGTCTCAAATAGTCTGTATCATTTTCTCATAAAAAATGGAGGTTCAGTGTACAACCAGGTTGGCCACTGTCCATGGCCTTTATAATAGATTGCATCAGGATTAGGTTATACTTGGAGTAAACCCATTTAACTCAATGGGACTTAAGTTATGGCATGACTAACTTAAAACCTATTGATTTCAAATGGGACTATTTTAAATATGACTTAATGTAGATTTAACCCAGGAAGATGTTTCCCTACAGAAACCCTGTACCAGGGGTAAGGAATTCATGTTGAGGGCTGAATTCACTTTTGAATTCAGCTGTCAGGAGCTGCATTCCAGTGGTGGGCAAAATCAAAACTAAAGTGTCATACCAAAACACAAAAAATTCCAGACTCATTATAGCTTAAAGCTCTTACCATTAATAACAAAACTTTCAAAAAGGTATTTCAATTTTTTAGATTGGAGAAGACACTTTTCTGAAGCTGGCAAACCATCAAAGAATCAGTGGTTGAGGAAAAGGGAGCGGGGCTGGATGGAGCAGGACTGTCTTTCTGAGGAACCTCAGAGGGCCCATTGGGCAGTTCAGGAAAGCCAAGGTTATCTGCCTTGTCTTATAAAAATGAAAGGTAACTGTGTACTAAAAGTTAGAAATCTGGACTAAGACTGGCGAAAATCAGGTTCAAATTCCATCTTGGCTATGAAACTCACTGGTTGCATCTCAGCCTAACCTGTATCACAGGTCTGCTATGATTATCAAGGCAGAGAATCAGGTAGTCCACCTTGATCTCCTTGGAAAAAGGTAGGATATAGATGAAATAATTTTATGGCCATCCTGGAAATCATGTGTACACAGACTTCCCTCAGTAAGGATTATCATGTGGACAGATGTTGTGTTTGTTTTTACGCAGTCTCTGTTTCACACATGCGGATTTTATTCAGCATAGTACACTGAATCATGCACATACGAATCATAGTGATATTCCTCAAGATAAATTTGTCTTGTTAACATTTAGAATATCTTGATTGCATAAAACAATTGGTGGCATAGGGTGCCACTATACAGATACATGTTCATCACAGTGTTGTGAACATCCTAAAGGCCCATGTGCTCTCCTTCCTTCCTTCCTTCCTTCCTTCCTTCCTTCCTTCCTATTCTCTTTTCCTCTTATAAGGAACCCGAGGCAACTTACAACATTCTGCTTCTTCCCATTTTTAACTCACAACAAGCTAAGCGGTCACCCATTGCCAGTTCAGGAGCCTGGCAGGGGCTATGTTTGGCGCAATCACAGCTGCTACCGCAGTTCCCAGAATGACCCAAAGTTCCTTTATGGACTGAATGTATTTAAATTGCAGCATGCAGATCCTGCATATCCAATCAAGTTGGTCAACCAAGCTTTCTGGTCCCAGGCACCATTCCAGTTATTTACTCCCCAATTAATTAGAGGTACCTGTATAATAAATCTAACTGGCTAATGCACTAAACAATGCACTATTATTTTAAGCTAGCATTTAAAGTCAGGCATCATTAAAGACTACACTATCCTTGGTTAGCATTAGCCTTAGTGCAAACATATTGCTAAATAATGATGAATACTGGATGGAAAGGAAGAGGAATTTGTGTAGACAAGAGGAGCAGGAGGCAGGAGAAGACAACTCGGGGTATGTGAGCCTGTGGCTGTCCTTAAGAGCATACCGCTGTTAAAAGGGCAGGATATTTTTCACCTGCATCCAGCCTGCAGTACAGTTAAAATAGGCCTGGCACCAGAGATGAAAATGGTATCATATCCCAGTCACTTCATTATCAGGCCACTGCAGGCAGTTGGATGATGTAGCCCTCACTTCAGCTTCTACACACACACATATATATTTGTGTGTGTGTGTATATATGATTCTTATCTTGTTTTTCTAGGGTTTAAAAGGAAAAAAAGGCCAGCCTGAGTATTTGGTATGTATATCTGGAATGCACTAGTTCCTCCCCATTGAGAAATAGACAATTTTGACCATTAACAATTATCTCTCTCTTTTCATCTCCCCTGCTCCACAAAAAGCACTGTCAACTCATTGAGTACATACGTAATAAGAGTAAGTACCTCTTCATGATTGATTTATATACTGAAAGACCAAAAGTGTAGTGTAGAGGTTAAGAGTACAAGTTTAGTCCACACTCAACCAGGGAGCTAACTGGATGACTTTGCACCTACCTCACAGGGTTGCTGTTGTGGGAATAAGATTGAGAGGAGGAGAAGGTAAGGCTCCTTGAGTTCCTTGAAAGGAAAGGCAGGATAAAAATACAATAAACAAAATGCAAGCAAACAAATAAGTGTCAACAATGAATGGAATTAGTGAAAGAAGAACATGTTGTCCATGGACAGATTCATCTTAACCTGCAATCAGAAAAAAATAGCAGGGCTGCAGGCTTTAGTTTAATGGGTAGTTTATAGTGAATGCTGGAGTGATGCAGTCATAATCCTTTGGACTCACAGCAGCATAGCCAACATTACAAATATGGCTGTTGATACAAAAGCTCAAAAAGTGGTGATGATGGAGAACCACAAAAAATCACATTGTTCAAAATTTCAGGGAGCTAGCATTAAGCCCCTCTAGCAGGCCCTTCCCTTCCCTTCCCCAGTTTTCTATTCCTCCATTTCAACTGACTCTCAGCTTTTTGTATCTATTGGGCTATGCTCATTTATCATTGCATGGTTCTTCATAGGTTTTTCCCACATAGGATTTTTTAGGAGACTGTTTATATGTCTTTATTACAGTTGCATTCCTCTGTAATATATGCTCCAGCTGGATAATAATAAAATCCAATATATAAGAAGCAGTATCGCAATTAAATTGTGTAAAGGTCAAATGAGAGCATATTTTAAAAACTAAAAACTGCAACCAGTAAAATGTGTGTGTGTATCTTTATGCACTGCAATGCATGCGCATACATAGATTTTAAAAAACAGGAGCCAAGGTTGGTTGAGGGGAGGGGGCTCTTGCTCATTGGTGCCACATTTCCATTCTATGCTGGCAATCACTACCCGAGTTCAGTATCAGAGGAAGGAGCCATTCCCACGGCATCCTGAGAAACTCTGCCATCATCTACCAATCACAATACTTCCCATTTTGGCTATTCAGGTAAGTGAATGCCATCTGTTAATGCCACCAATAACAATGCATTCTATATTTTAAAATTCTCTGAATAATAACATTTTGAATAACATATCTTTTTCCTTTTTCTGTTTAGCTTGTTGTAAAAGTGAGTATTGTTCCAGTTTTTAATTCATTTTCTATAGGCTTCTCTAAATCTTAGTGAGGATGCTAGGCAGCAGCAGTATAGTCATCTTGGTTCTGATAGTTCTATTTTTATGTAAGACATGATACAGAGATAACTGTAGGCCTGCTTCCTTCTCATCTGAAAATTCAATATTCATAATGTAAGTTCAGCTTTGTGCAATAAGACTAAGCCTAGTCCTAGGGAGAAAATAAGCTACTGAGGTAAAGATACTTTTTTGATTGTAATCCATTACAGATGATAGCACCGCAAGGAAATGGCCTGCTACAGATTAAATCTGAGAAAGGACAATATCATTAACCACACCATACTTTATTTAACAAGTCAATCCCCTTATTTCTAAAAATGTGTCTTACACTGATTACTGCGGTACACATTTTGCTGAACCTCATTGCCCATCCCTTTCTCAAGTCTTGCCATTCAAAAGTCTTCTAGTTGTTGATTCTACTGTGCCCAAGGTTACAATCACAATTCACTCATTCCTCCCCATTCTCCTTTCCAAGGCATCCTCTTCTTAAGCAGTTGCACCTCTCTTCAGTGACTCTTATCTTTTTTATCCACTTCTCCATTCTATTCCAACTCCATCTCAGATTTTGAGCATTTCCTGACATGTTTACAAGAATCCATTCCATCAGTGCCTTATGCCCATGAGTAAATTTTGGCATTGATTTGAATGGTAATATTAGAGTTTCAGAATCAATATTGATTAGATATTATTTGAAAACTATGGATATTATCACACTCACATTTTTTAAAACGAGAAAACCAAACGCATCCTTGATTCACTCTCACTTAAATCAATAGAGTTTACAACCACTTATATTTGTCTGAACAAATATATATTTATTTTTATTTATTTATTTTACATTCTAGGCTTCCCTAAGTGCCCATTATATCCGACTGAATTAGTGTTTGCCTTGGATGTATCCCAAGATACCACACTCCAGACATTTGAACAAATGAGAGAGATCATCATAGCCATTGTGAACAATACCAGAATCAGAGAGAGCAATTGCCCAGTGGGAGCCAGAGTGGCTGTGGTGTCCTACAGCTCTGATACGCACTATCTGATCCGCTTCTCAGATTTCCAGAGCAAAAAACGGTTGATCCAGGAGCTCAATGCTCTTTCCTATCAGAGATCTCCAAGTGGGAGAGACCTTGGTGGGTCTATGAGGTTTGTTGCCAGGAATGTCTTCAAGAGAACTATGCCAGGTGCTAATGTGAGAAGGGTTGCTGTGTTTTTCAGCAATGGCCAATCTGACAATCCAAGTTCTATTGACACAGCAGTCCTGGAGTTCAGTGCCTTAGATATCCATCCAGCGGTCGTCGCTTTTAGGAACACCCCTCATGTCAACCGTGCTTTTGCGGTGAGAAACTGTTATTTTCTTCTTTATATTCAGGAGAATTGTCTCATTGAGCCTGTTAGAATGTTTGCAATATCAATTAGATTTTAAAGATTTGTTTAGTATTACTGAGTAGATCATTTAATGAAACCAGAATTTAGCAAATTTGAAGACAACCCGGCCAAGTGCAGACAGGCCTGAGGTGCTGCTGCCAGTGGGGCACTGCCACACCGGCAACCTTGACCGACATTCAGCAAATGAGCACAGAATGGGAGACCTGGGGTGGGAAGCCTGACTGGGATGGTGCTGAATAGGGACATTATCATGGGTACGTTTATTACCGTCAACTAAACATGCTGACCTACAAAATGCCCCTTTTCTTACATCATGTGTCCCTCTGGTCAGTAATTGAGGTCATTTTTACTTCCTCCATTTCTCTCACGCTGACACATATCTCCTTTTTGTTGGAACTTACAGGTCCTCCATATTTTGAGCTGCTGAATGCTGCAGCTGGTGGCGATGGGCTTTCCTTTCCTTGCTTACATTCAGGGCCTGGATTGGATAAACATGTTAGGCTTTTCCCCAACAGGCTTTGGTGCCCCAATACCTCAGCATTATGCATCTCATGCACGCTGGACAGCAGCAGGATTGCATCTGCCAAATTTCTTTGTAAATTCTAGTTAGCTTCATTGGAACCTTCAAACCAATTAGTTTAAACTTGGTCCCAAATCAGAATATTAGGTTCTAACCCAAAATTCAGAGAAAAATGGCTATCTCCAGTTAAAAGTGACTAGATGTTTGGCACTTAGGAAATCAACTGTTATGATGCCAATGGTATGGACTGGCTCTAAACTTCATTGGGCTCTATTGTATAATGTCTCTAAGAGAATGTGATTGTATAAAATGCAAATGAGGATAAATTCATAGAAAATACTACTTTTCAAAATTTCCACATGGGACTCACTGGTGATGAAAACATTATTATTATTACTACTACTACTACTATTAGTATGATTAATTTCATTTCTGTACCACCTATCGCTAATGCTGTCTGGGCAGTTTACAACAAAGTATAAAAGCAATAAAATACACTCGATCAAACAACATTAACAAGAATTAACAAGAATTTGAATTAATATAGAATAAAAAATGGCTTTGTTAATGGTTTAGGACCTGAAGGACCTATCTGAAGGACTCCCTTATATGCCTTCCCAACCACTAAGATCTAGCCAAGAGGCCCTTCTGAATGTGCCATCCCTTAAGGAGATGAGAGGGGTTGTAAATAGGCCTTTTTGGTGGCAGCCCCCTCCCACCTGTGGAACAAGCCCCCCAAGTAGTGTGCTGGTACCCACTGTGTTCTCATTTTGGTACCAGCCAAAAACATATCTCTTCTAGACCTATTTTAATAATTTAAATAATTGGTTTTATTAATTGGTTTTTAAATATTTAATTTTTATTATCTTTTAGCATTTGGTTTTCCATCTTGCCTGGTTGTTTCTTGGAATTGATCTGGCCTATATTGTGTTAGTATTATTATTAATTGATTACTTTAAATAATAGTTTTGTTTGGTTGTTATTTTGTTACACCACCTAAAGGGCTCATTTGAGCTGTTTGGTGGCTTATAAATGTAAAGATAAATACATATATGCAATAAAATACAGTAAAAGTATCTGTCCAAGAATACAATAAAGGCACCTGGATAATCCCATCAGGTCCTTGAGTGACCAGGGAGATCTTTAAAGGCCTCTGCAAAGAAGGCTGTCTTTACCTGGCACTGAAAAGATGACAAATTTGGTGCCAGGCAGGCTGCAGCAGAGAGGTTGTGCCAAAGATGTCTCCTCAGTTTTTTTTTAAGCACACGTGCATTTTCTTCTTTTAGATGGATACCACAAGACTGTTTCAAGTTATCAATCTTCAACAGGAGAGAGATTATGGTCCAGCCTTGGAAAGACTGCTGTCATGTGTACTTTGCTATGGTAAGAGTATCTGAAAGGAACATGAGAATCAGCTCTTCAGTCATAGCTGCTCTTTGTGTTGTGCCATTACAATGATTTTAAATCCATTTTCAGACAAATGCGACCCAGATGAATCTTGCTTCCGTCATGAAACCTCCCCACCTCGGGCCTACATGGATGCCGCTTTCATTTTAGAAAGCTCACAGAGAATAAGCCCTGCTGAATTTAAGCAGCTGAAAGATTTCCTAGGTGCAGCGATAGACAACTTTGACATTTCTGCTAAACCAGACACCTCTTTGGAAGGTGACAGGGTGGCTGTGGTGAGCCACACTCCACTAAATTTCAGACCTCAGACCCACATGCATCCAGCTAAAATTGAATTTGACTTTGTGGCTTTTAGAAGTAAAGGACGAATGAAGAGGCACATCCAGGAGTCTCTCCAGCCGCTGAATGGATCAGCCGCCATTGGCCATGCCATACAGTGGACAATCAGCAACGTATTTTCAGTAGCACGCAACCAGAGGAAATCGAAGGCTATTTTTGTTATATCTGCTGGAAGAACGAGTCAGTGGGACAAGGGGGTGCTGAGCGACGCATCCCTGAGAGCCAAGTGCCAGGGCTATGCTTTCTTCGTGCTCTCCTTGGGGCGTGAGTATGATCACACAGAACTTGAGCAACTGGCGAGCTTCCCCCTGGAGCAGCACTTGTTACAGCTTGGCCGAAATCACAAGGCCGAGCTTGGATATGCCGTGGATTTTTTGAAACCGTTTGTACGTCTCCTCAAGGGTAAGTTGTTGCACTTTAGCCAACTCATTTCTCTATAGAAAGCTCAGAAGGTAAACCAAGATGCACACTTCTGATTTTTTTGCATACAAAAACAAGGAATGACAGCAAGCGTTTCTTTTCAGGGAGAACCTGTGTAACAATATGATAGTGCTGGAGCAGCTCTTGTAGGGAGTGGGGGGGGGGTGCACTTCCACAAGTCCAACTGCATGTGCCTAAATCTGCATTGAATCCTTCAAGTGCACCTGTTTGCTCACTTCTGAGGTAGTTGGTACTGAGCTGGATATGCCAGTAGAGGAAGCTCTGAATGGATGGTTTCCATATCCCTTCAAAGCCAGTTTCTACCAAGAGACGACCCATTTTTCCAACCATAGTTATCAGGTGCTTGAATGAATTAAGTTCAGTTACCCTACCAGTCCTGTTCCTTCATTTGGGATAACCATCTGCCATCTTTGCACTGATTTCATTTGTCTTAATAGGTAAAATCAACCGCTATCCTCCAACAGAGCTGAAGAGAAAATGTGCAGAAAGCCTCACAACAAAGCCTTTGTATGCTACACAGATAGACTTTCCTGGGTGAGTTGTTGTTTTTTCCCAGTCATTGTTTTCTTCTCTGATCTTCTACAGGTGTACATAATGAAGATAAATTTCTATAGTTTTACACGCTATATATGGATATGAAAGAAAGCTGTTATGGTTTTATTCAATCCCTCAACTGTAACAATGGGAAAGCAAAAATGGTCCTCCTACAGAGTTAAGACAACTGTGTCACCTTGGATTGCTGTGCACATAATATGTCTTATACACACTATGACAGAAATGAGAGCAGGACCAACCCAAAACATAGCTCCCTCGCCTCCAACCATAGGTTAAGGTGCATGGTACCCAAGGCTGGTGAATTATTTTGGTGGTTAAGGCAGAAATCCTACAAGCACCTGGTCCCTTCCCTGCTGGTAAACTTAAGTAGCAATAAATTAAACAACCCATTGCTTTCAAGATCACATGTGCTGGGCCTATGAACATCCTGTTCCCCTTCCCACATCGCTGGCACTTCAGAAGAGTAGGCCAGGCATCTACACAGTATGCCGATTATACAAGCCCAAAGTGTTGGGATTGAACTTCATTGGGTTGCTTAACAGCCCCAGGTGTGCCCTTGTACCTGTGAACATCTTTACTTATCCTGAGTACTTCTTGAATAAAATATGGAAGTGTAGGAAGAGACTGCTAATGAAATACTTACAAGAATTATTTTATTTCATACCTAGTTTTAGCACTGATGAGACATTAAGTGGAGATTATGCTCTAGATGCTGAATCTGGTTTCCTGGAAGCCTGGCCTATCCATTAAGATTTCATCAGCAGTAAGTATCCTACTTTTGTGAGTTTTTTTTTAAGTAGGCATAATGCAAAATTAACGCAAGCAGGTGTAACCTGTTGAAATGTTACTGTGCCTTACTTCTGTCTTTCTTATCCCTGTGTGTACTGCTCTGCACAAGGAATTCCTTTGTTCCTGATGTCCCTGCCCCATCAATAATACAGATGCAGTAAGCATCCAATACGTGAATGCTTAAGTCTCTGACTCTAATAGAGTTTGCCGAACAAACTTCACATCTCTTGAACTGGTTACATGTTCAAAAAAGCAACATTAATCTCTACAAATGCAGTGAAACTACAATCACAAATGCCAACACGGGGCTAATAATGACCACCATAGTAAAATTCTCTGCATCTGTGCTGCACCTCCACCTAGTGGTCAGTGAAGATACTCAAGAATACACCCTACTTTCTCTTTGCTTCAAGAAGTGTGGAGGAGCTGGGAACAATAGCACAGGGCAGGCTGCTGTTTTATCTTAGACTTGCCTTCTAAAGCTGAACTGTAGCATACTACTGGAACTCTTCCCTCTTCCATCAGTACATATATTCACAATGTAGGATATGTACTATTACAAGAATCAGTTTCAAGCAATGATGGTCTGACTTTGACACATTGAACTGACTGGGACAAGATAGAGTATCTTTCAGTATAATCCAGTATGTGTGAAGCTACTGGATACAGAACTGACTCTTTGCTATTAATAGAGACTTCTTTATATATTTTAATATTTTGTTGATTTAATTATATTAACTTTTGTATATTTGTATATTTCTATTCATGTTGTAATTGTGTAAGTTTAATGTTGTAAGACGCCATGATCACAATGATGTTGACCAGTTTGTTAATTCTCACTGCCCTATTTTAGACTAGCTTAAGTTTCCATACCACTTTTAAAGGCAATACTGCACATAATGCATTGTAGGAATCCAGGTGAGAACTTACTAGAGCCTGGATAACCATAACTAGACTATCTCTGGCCTGGTAAGGACATAGTTACAAATCACCCTAAGTAGAAAAAAGGTGTGCCATAACATCAAGAGTACCTGTGGCTCTAGTGAAATGCTAAATCCAAAAACATCTCCACACTCCTGCAAGCATCCCAATTTTCTCCTGCCAGAAGCTCCACCATTATTGCATGATCTCTATCCTGCAGTATCCTTTTCTCTCTTCTAGCTTGTGGAACCCCTCTCTCAACATGTGCGCGTGCGCACACACACACAACTGGTTTTTGCTGTCAGTGAAATATCCTTATATAATCCTAGGTAGATGCAAATATAATCCTGAGTCTTAGCCTGTTAATCATTAACTTGCAGAGATAAAGGTGGGCATGACCCAATTTCTAGGAACTTAGGAGCATAACTGAGACATATTCTTACTTTCTTCATTTTGCTTTCAGGTGCTTGGGAATCAGCAATGTGCTCAACTTGACAATCATACTGAAGAACAAAAACACTGTGGAAACTTTTCAAGTAGTACTGTACTACATGGTTTGCTGCCACCCGTAGCTCTAAGAAATGCATTTCCCTAAGAAGTTCATTAATTCATTGTTTTAAAAAATGGAAAGGCAAACAAATTTCCATTTTTAAAAGATGCATTGTTTTAAAAATATGGAAGCACCTTTATGGAAGATGCCAAGACAGGTTAAAATTAAGTATGCTATGATGCAATAGAGTTGTCCTTAGAAAAACTAGTCTTCAGGATACAACCAGTGGGCTGGCTAAATTGGATCTCCTTTGTATATCATAGGGTCAGCCCAGAGATTGTGTTATTTAAAAAAAAGCATAAGCACATGTAGTTCTTCCTTATGGCATCAACCCTGCTGAACAGTGGATGCTTCTTATGTGGACAGGTCTTTACATGTGACCTCATTTCAACCCATGACACTTCTGTATTTTCCATAACATCCCTGTAACATTTAAACGGCACCACAGAAATGTGGGAACTAAGTCATGTGAAGGCTGGTGTACAGATAACAGGAGAACGTCCTCTCCTATTTGTTCTTTTCACACAGCATGCTATTTGTGTCCCCAGTCTGCCACACGGCTTTGGGTGGCAAGTGATGTTTTCTGCCAATTTGGTTGGGTGTTTTTGTACAGGGATAAATCATCTATACAGCAAGATGCGATGCTTGAAAAAACTGAATCCTCACCTATGTTGTCACAGTGGAGCAGATATACAACAGTATTGCTTTTTAACTTCCTATTACAGCTCTGACACAAAGGAGTGATCCAAACTCTTTATTTTTCAATATTAATTATACAGGAGTTTGACTATACATGAACAAAAGTGCAATAATGCTTGTTTTATCACTTTCAGTCTGTAAAAAAAGTTTACATAAATATTGCTGATGAAGAATATAAGCGCTGTCTTCATGTTTATACACATTTTTTAAAGTTTTCTAAATAATACCATGGATAAGTACAATTTCTTCATGTTACCTCCTTTTGCTTGGTAGTTTTAGAAAATGCTACATAAATAGTTTTACTTTAATACGTTGGCAGGTTGTGGAAGGGCTAGTAGTAGTGATGATAAATGCTGAGAAAATACCATTCACCTTAGTGAGCTTTACAGTCCATCTTAGATTCTGGAAGCCTTCAATGAAATTAAGTTCCACATTATTTTTCTTTATTAACAGGTATTAACAGTATATATAAGTCAGTGCAACCTTTACTTCCAGACTTTGACAATGCCATCTCGTGATGCAGTAATTATAAAACCTTGAGTTGTCTGGAAAGTAGCTATGTCAGTAATAATGTCATGGTGTCCAACTGGTAAAGATTCTGGGCCCCTCCGAGGAGTTTCATCTGTGGGGCCCATCTTTGGCTTGTTTTGAACTTCCTAATAAAGAAGAGGAAACATTAAATACAGCTGCGGGAATGTGATAGTTGGGACTTAGAGGTGCTTTCTCATTCTGTACCCAGTATGTGTACATTGGCTGCACTTTATTTTGTAACTAGGAAATTGCTAATGCAGTCAGTGCTACTAAGTTTGCTTTGCAAAGGATCAAAGCACAGATATCTATTACTTGTGGTGTCTTTAATGATAATGGCCCCACTCCCACATGAACAGGCCTGTGTCATTTTATGAACTTAAGGAAAATAATGGAAGCTTGGGGTAGCAGACATGGCTGTATCATCTTCCATCTGGAAGCCACAAAAACCCTGTGAGGCAGGTTAGCCTTCAGAAAACTGAAAGCCCCCTGCTGTGAATTTCATGGCCAGCTGGGGCTTTAACCTGGTGTTCAGTCAAAATGCACAGTAACATGCTGTACAAAACTACATTCTTTCACTCTTGCTGGTACAGTTTGGACTTATAAATACTTGTAACTGACACCCTGAAAGTGTCAGACACACAAAAAAAACCCCTCCACCTGAAAGCGGTACTCCTGATAAATGGAAACAAATGACTACTAAAATAAAAGACCACAAATATACACAAAAATATGAGGAAATTACTTGGATGAAAATACAAAGTAATATACCTGAACTACTTCTGTTCCTTCAATGATTTTTCGGTAATAAGACACAGATGAACCGCTAGGACTTCCAGCAACAATGTAGGACCTCTCAGGATATGCTAAATCCCAGAATCTGCAAAGAATAAACCCAAAGGCATAAAACTACATATTTTAAATCTAAGTATTTCACCCCTTAAAATAAAGTTTGGTTTTTTAAAACCTTTCCTATAAAGACAGGCATACAATTTAACCATGTTTCTGTCCAGTCTGGCATCTAGCTGTTCACTGCTGGACAGATCTCACTATCTATGTCCTGTCTTTAGAGTAGATAAACATGTTCTGTCTCAGTCACAAATCTAGTGGAACAGGTTGCGACAGATTGGCTGATGCTCCAAAAAAAAAAAAGATTGGTTTAGCTCCCCATGGGATTTTATGCAGACAAGATTATATAACCTGTGAAGTATGATAAAATCATATATGTTACTTGGACATTTACCTTATCTTCATATCTGAACCTGCTGTCAACAATATAGGATTTCCATCTGCTGGGCTACAATATATTCCATGCACGCTATGAAGTGAAGGCTAACAGGTGGAAAAGCAGACATTTCAAACATTTATACTCTGCTGGTAAAATATTTTAATATTTTAAGTGTTACTTTAAGTAACAGTTATGTCATATAGGCTTTATTTATTTAAAACATTTTTACCCTATCTTTACCTTTACGGGTCTCAGGATGACTCACAAACCAGTAACAGCACATTAAAATACAATATAAAATATATAATAAGATTCCAATTTAAAACCCATCAACCCCTAAAGTACTGGGAAAGTAAAAAGGGGTTGGCCCCGTGTTGAAAAGAATGAAGTGTTGCTTCCAGGCACCCCTCTCTGTAAAGTAGGTTCCAAAACTGGGGCACTACCACAGAAAAGGCCCTTCTCCAGGTAGCCTTCTTCTAACCTTCTTCTAACATAACTCTTCTAACCTCCTTCAAGAAGGGCTCCCATAGAAGGACCTCATGGAAAGATCTTAAACTTCCATTAAACTTGAACACACTTACTTAGGCTTAATGAGTTCAACAGGCCTTCAAAACATACATTGCTCTACTATAGCAATGTCTTCATTTTTAAAATAGCCACAATCTTTAAAAAATGTATCTGCAGACATGTATGTTTGGTTATCTAATACATTTATATCCCACCTTATAAAAAATCTGAGGCAGTTTACCAGTTAGAAAGAACATTAAAACACAGATAAAAACAAAATTCAGAGAAATAAACGCAATTGAACAGAGTGGCAGGTAAAACAGTAAAAGTGCAATCCAGTGTGGTGGTGCTTAACTTTCTGGGCTGTGCTTAGCCCGCTGGAGGGTTACAGGCATCTTACGGAGAGCAGAAGGAACACAGAGGTGAACATCAGCTATGCACTTCCCCCACCTTGCAGAAGACTTGGAAGTTCAGTTTTGACTAAGTGTTTTTCCTCAGAGCATAACAAGGGCAGGCTGAGGCATTGCAGGGTCCTGGAGGAGTCTGTCTCTTCCCCTCCCACTGCAATGCCCACAAAACACCAACTGTGAACACTGTGGCTGGTGCAGTTCTTTCTGCACTGGCTGTGGCAGGAGAGTGCTCTGAGTTTGAAGTCTCAGCTCTGGCCTTGGAGCAACTTTCTGATATCAGAGCTGGAACCCCCTAGTTTGGGACAGTGTCTAGAGATCACCCTAAGGCTACAAATTTTTGTACGCTTGCTTGCATGTGAGCCCCACTAAGCACAGTTGCTCTTACATCCAAGTACACACAGGACTGTGCTTCAGATCTTGAAAAGCAACAACCAATCAAAATAGAAAACCTGAGTTAAGAAAGCCCAGGCAAATAAAAACATTTTTACCTGGTGTCTAAAATTCAAAAAAGTGGGTGCCAGGCATTTGGATTTCAGAGTCAGCATTCTAGACACAGTAGGCTATCACCAATAAGGGCTGCCCAAGCACCCGAAGAACAGCCTCACCAAAAAAACTCAAATCATCTTGTACAGGAACAGGCAATCCCTGTGGTACCTTAGTACCAGCCCTTTGAGTTGTGTGCTGCAATCTAGCGGTGCTCTACTGGTGGATATTAAATTATACAGAAGGTTTTGGGCTACAACCTCCAGAATTCCAGATCACGGGCCAGGCTGAGTGGGGCTGAAGGGAGCTGAAATCCAAAACACCTGAAGGAACCTGGGTTTTACAGATAATATACCTCTTATGTATTAAAAATGTGAACTTCAGTGCTATATGCATTCACCTCCCCTAAAGGCAGAAATCTAGACAGACTTCTACAATATTCTTCCTGATATTCTGCACAAGGTACTCAGAAGACCATACCTGCGATTCTGAAAGAGGTGGGGCACTACTGGCCCATAACGTGAAGCGTCTGTCACCAGTTTCCATATCCCACATGGAGACTTCATTATTTCCTTGAACAGCTAAGGAAATGACAAGGGCAAGTTAAGAACTAAATGTACACTACAGAGTATACTTTATAAAAATGCATTTATGCACACCAGTGTTCTACATGAGGATCTCTGGGGAAGGAAGTAAAGCACCTGCTCCCCCAGTGATCTTGATGCAGACTGCTCTTTCCTCACTGCCAGCAGTGACAAGAAAAGTGTGTTCTATATAAGCAACTCTACAGCAGGAGAAGAGAGTACAGGGGACGGCAGTGGCAGTGGTAGAGCCAATGCATCCTTAAGGAGCTGCAGGTGATGCACCCCTGGTTTATTCTCTAAGCCATAGCCACAGAAGCTCTGCAATGACTGACAGAGTGGCTTTGTTCTCCATCTTCCCTAACGGACTCTCAAGTTAATTTTCCCCACAAATACATATAGTTCTTAAAATGATACCTGCAATTGCCAAGAGCCGGTACTACCAAAGCAGAGGGCTGAATACTATTTTAAAATGGATATAAAATGCTAGTGGAAATACATGCCACTAGGGCATGCTCCAGCAGGCATGCCTGTGTTTCGTCCTCCATATGCATGAAGGGAATGACTGGAATTGATTTAAGGGCATCTATAGAAGTGTTACAAGCACTTCAAGAAAGAGGGTAAGGTATACCTGCAATCACCCATGACTGTGAGAGAGGATGCATAAGCAGGCGCCTGATCCGTGCCCTGGAAGGATGGGAATGACTGGAGATAGGCAGCTGGAACCTCATATCCCAACAGGCCATGGTTCCACTGCTTGTACCTGATGGAGAACAATTTAATCACTATTAGCAACTTAATGACAGTGAAGTCATATTTTCAACAATTCTGATTGCACATACATAAATAAACCTAACATTCAAAGATGTACTTCCTTTTTGATATACCTTTTTATGTATATCATTTGCAAAGATACAAATCTACCGTATTTTTCCATATATAAGACGATACTTTTTCTTTAAAATATTTACCTAAAAATGGAGGGGCATCTTATACATGGGGGGCCGACAAAAGAACCGTGGGCATGCTCGGGGGGGGGGGGGAGTGGCGGGCTCGCAGGGGGGCTCGGGGGGGGGAGACTGGTGTGGGCGCAGGTGCGCACGCGCGGCAGCAGCTCACTTGCTTGGAGATCGGTAAGAAAAGTGGAGGGGCATCCTATACATGGGGGCATCTTATAGACAAAAAATACGATATACTGTACTTGGCCTTGTAACAGCCTTGTGTTACCAGTGTTAATTCCCAACTTACAAATGGAAAACCAAGTGTGAAAAAATGTGGTTTCCCCATATTAAATCCGTAACAGAAATGGGAGCTAACCCAGATCCATTTAACTCTCCAGGAGTTGATTGTCTTGAAAAATCCAAGTGCATTTGTGATTGTTCCCAAAGGTAATTTTATTTAAATACATTTAAATATTTATAAAGAAATACATTCTGAA